TTCACGCATATCTGATATTCGTTCTGAATTTACTTTGGGGTTCTCGCGGCAGTAAACCCATTAGGTTCTACTGCACTGGGAGTATGAGCACGTTCCGCTAGAGTTTTCCAGATGTTTTATGACACTAGTACAAATAATTATGAGCAGGAAAGTTTTGAAGTCTTAAATACAATTTTCATGACATTACTTGTCAGATATTTTATTGCCTTATTAAACGGAGTCTCTTATTCTCAAACAAGTGTAATGATGCGTGAAGAGTGTCACGGTGTGAAAGGGGAGTGTTGACGCCACCGATTGCCGCTACCGATAAGCTGGAGAAGCCTGAGTGGGGCGCTGGTGCATGACGTCACTGGTGAGGAGAATTGATGCCGCCGTTGCCGCTACCGATAAGCTGGAGAGGCCTGGGTGGTGGTGTTGGTGTGTGACGTCACTGGTGAAGGGCAATAATGCCGTGGTCTAGGTATTGCTGCTTATTTAGTTCACAGAGTCGTGTGTTAGTGATTCGTAAGAAGGTGTGTAATAGCGCAGCTTACGCGTGGAGTCGATCTCGGTGCATTGATGGTACGTAAGGACGTGTGTAATAGCGTGACTTACGTGTAGTGAGTTCGATCCGTGTGATGGTACTAGGAGACTATCTCTGTAGATGGGGGCGGTCTGTGTGAATTGAAGGTGATCTCTATGCAAGCGGCGTTGACTCGTAGGACGGTAATTTGTGTGAATTGAGATGATTTCTGTGTAAATGGCGTTGACTTGTAGAACGGTAATTTGTGAATTGAAGGTGATCTCTGTGTAAATGGCGTTGACTTGTAGAACGGCGATTTGATCTTGATGACTGCTTGACTGAACTAGTAAGAGGACGAGAGCGTCAAGCGCGTCTCCTTAAATATTATCTTACAGGCTTACGATTCCAGTGAATTCTAGATTTCTCTTGTCATGCCGATAGTTGAAGTGACGTCACTAAAATCTATTCTTGGAGAGTTCGTCGGCCCTTGTTAGTCGGAATTGTAATGTAAATTTGACTATTTGAGTATTGAAGTTTCCCGATTTCGGAGAATCGTGTTTACGACTTGGCGCGCAATATTTTGACCTAAGCAGGTGTCTTTACCTCTCCCACTTTGTTTACCGCGTATATGCTGCAATCCGTAACACTGATATATATGCTGTTTATTCTGTTATTTATTCGATGACAAGGCTTCACTAGTATTACTCTTATTAATTATTAAAATAACTCTTGTGGTGGATTAATATGTTTGTGGTGGTAAACGTACACTCATCTAATGCAGCGTGATGGTTCGAATATGAGCGCAGAATGGCGCGAAGTTTGATTCGTCGACGCTCACGCTGTTTGGATGAGCACGTGCGTAATTGAGGTTATGATTGTTATGTAGCGTGCCAGATGTAACTGTTGTTACTTGAGAGATATATTCGTATCATAGCAAGCGTACCTTGTTCCAATATTAGCGTACTGCAATAAATTCAGATAGAAGCAAGAGTTTGAAGGCTTTACTTCATAAAGAATACTGCTACGTGTTGCGGCTGTTATGAGCGGTGAATGATGCGCTGCGTATATTGATAAGCGTCAGACTTTGAATTAAGGTGAGGGTTTGCCGACAAGACGCGCATCAGCTGGTGCGAACTTGGCGACGCGTTTGGAATTTATTCCGCACTGTATCTCTGGGCAGAGCCTCTTCGTCCTTAGTTGCTTGTCGATGACGTAATCTCTGAATCACAGAGTTTGGTGAATATTGTAGTAATGATACTAATTACGAAGACTACTGGTATACTTAGTTTCGGAACTTCCTTGTTCCTTCTTCAAGAGAGCTGTCACTGGACACTTGTCTTCGGACTTCGATAAGGGAATACGTCTCCCGCCAATAGGACTTGTAACTATACTTGTCTTGAACTACGTTAATAGGAAACTTCCACTTCTTATTTGAATAAGTACTGTATCGAGAGTTTGTGAATATTGAAAAATGTGCCCCTTAAATACATTTGCTGACCATGAACTTCACTTGAACCCCTTCCCTTATCTTTCGTCCAATCAGAGACTCCTCCCTTACAGAACGAGGACAGCGCCTCTTGTGGCTTCATAGTCAATTAAGGGCGTAGTCGTCTCTTGGTCTTCACGGCAAAAAGAGGTCTCGTTGCCTCTGACGCATCTTGTGACAGCATGACAACTTGTTGACACCGGGAAGGGGGTGGGAGTTCGTTTGTACATACTGTTTGAAGTAGTTACCGAGCGGAGCGAATTCGTTCAGATGTCTAATGAGTTGGGTTTTCCCGTGTTTATTGTCTTGTTTTTCCAGATGTTTTATAACACTATTGCTAGATGGTTGTGAGCAAGAAAGTTTTGAAATCTAAGATAAATTTAAGATGTTGTTTTGCCAGATGTTATATTGCATTGAAAAAAGGTCTCGCAATCTCGAACACATACATAATTTACAATTTAATTATTTTTCTGTTGTTCGTTTCCTAAATGTATGAAATAAAACACTTATTGTAAAATAAGTGATATGATGTAAATGTTATTATTGATATAATTATTCATGTAATGTTTCAACCGAAACCAGGCAAATTATAGTAATACAGCTCATATTTAGTTTATGTACTTATAATCAATTTATGCAGTCACATATGCAGTCCTAAGTAGTGTAACTATTATTTATAATTACTGATAGATTTAGCACCTATATGTTTTCTTACAGACCATGAGTTTTAATGTGATAACATATATTATTGAAACTTATTACTTTTAATAAAATCAGTATTTCGGAAACTTTTGAACATAATCATAGTTCAAAATATATTCAATTCGTAATAATAGACATACAAACTTTAATATATTTATGTTTTTATGTTTTTTTAAAATATATATACTTCAAAATAAACATTAATCAAATTTATACAGTAGTACAGTACGTATTAAATGATCCTACATATTTTTACTTTGTTTAAATTTATAATAATTATTTATAATTTTATATAATTAACTTTCACATATTAAATTAATTTTTTATTATTGAAACATACAAATATTGTAGAATGTTAATTATAAATAAAATTTATTTGATACATTTTAAATAATTTATTCGAAGTTAAGAAATTTTTACTTAAAATAATTTATTTAATTATACATATAAAGTTCTATTGATTTTAAATTAAAAATTATTTATAATTATTTTATAAGTATTATATAAAATCTATGAAATATAAATTGATTTATGCAGGTTATTGCTATTGATCCTGATTGCGGCATTAATGCAATGGTTAATTATACTTTGGAACACAGTATAAATAGTACCGAATACTTTCATGTTCATAGTGAAACAGGGCATATTTGTATTAAAGCTGTTTTAGACAGAGAAATTATTGATTATTACGAATTTTTAGTTATTGCTACAGATAGAGGTTTGTAATATTTTGTTTTTATATCTAATCGTATATTTAAGATCGAAATAGAAATAAACTTTTAAAAATTATAATAATATAAGTTGTTGATTTAAATTTTTTTTTTTTAATTAATAGTTTGAAGTTTATGTTATCAAAAAGATTTTTTTTATTTTTAATAAAAATTAATTACAAAAATATATGAGGGAATAAATATGTACAGGAGGATTCAGCTCAACATCAATCGTTCGAATATCGGTCATGGACATCAATGATAACGGTCCTGTCTTCCAACCACGCGACTACAATGTAACATTAAGGATTGACGATCTAATAAATGAACCATTTGTACGTTGTAGTGCCTCTGATGCAGATATTGGAATCTTCGGTCAAGTCATTTATGGGATTTCATTTGGCAATGAAGCTGGTATATTTCGTATTAATAGAAATTCTGGCGAAATTTATGTAACACGTCCTGATCAATTAATCACATCAACCATGTATATCTTGAATATCACGGCCACTGATGCTGCTGGACGAAAATCCGATATAAATGCATCAGTACAAATAACTATAATTTCAGTCGGTAAAAAATTTGTCAGTTGTAATAAACCAAGATATGTTATCAGTGTTAAAGAAAATGTTGCTCAAAATACCTTCATTGGTAGCATAAAAGAATCGACTGGTAAGTAGTGTATTAATTAGTAAAATTTTATGAAATACAAATATTTTATTTCACAAATAATCTTAAAACATAAAAATTTTGTTAAAAATAGGTTACAATCTGTTATCTCAAAATCTTATATATATCACTTGTTTCAGTTTGATGAATTTTGAAGCATATTCTCTTGATTAATATATGATAAAATCCAATTAAACAAGTAAATACTTTTAATACTAAAATAATTTTTCTTCCTTTGTATTAAATCGATGCTATGCTTGATTATTTGATCAATGAAGTTTACAATTTTCATGGAATAATTTTCAGCAATTTAAAATATAAATTATTATATAATATATATTATATATTTTTGAAGTTTATGTAATTTCAATCGAAGATTACATAGTTTTTTAAATTGAGATATCTAGGATTAGAAATTTAGTAATGCCATATTCTTACTACAGAACTAAATTTAATGCAATTGTGTGACATTTATTGTCGCTCAGCTAGTTGTATTGAAAAACGACAATTTATTTATTTTAATTATTTAAAATGTCCGTTCGATTTTCTGGCTCGAAGGGCCAATGTTCGATAGTCCAATTTAGTTTGTCGCCTGCCTTAGCAGATGCTTAGGTAAGGACTTAAGTGGAAAGGCTGCAAAGATATACAGTATTTGTAGACTTCGTTAAATATCGTTTATTGCCGAGTTGAATTCACTTGTCATAGGAGAGTGTGAATTATGGTCAATCACAGCGATACAGTTGCCTTGACCCGATTCTGTGATTATTAGTTCAACATCACGAGAGGCTCTGTGATGATGGTAACGATGCTGTTGCTGATCATTGATGAGCAAATTATCATTAATTATCTTTAATGAGAAAATTATCCTTTCATGGCTCTATGTGACAAATTATTGTTAATTAAGAAATTAGAACCTTTATTTTTATTTACTATAGGTATATCTTTATCGCTATTATCTGTAAATATGTAAGATTGAAAGATGAGACAAGTGTACTTTTATTTACATTTTTAATATTTTATATAAAAAAAAGGCATTGTTAATGATATATTTATATATTTAATAAACAAGGTGCATTTGCTGTTTAATACTAAAGAGATATGCATTAAATTTCCTTAAGTATTATTTAATAATATTACAAATTTATCGCAAGAGAAAAAATTTATAAATAACATTATTTGTTATGGAAAATATCTAGTAATTAAACTAAAGTTGACATTGGTCAGCTTTCAGCTTTTTGTTTTTGTAGATATTCACAGTAGTCAAAAAAGCACATTGAAATTGATGATCCAAAAATGTGGTTTCCACTATCTACAAGCCAACTCTATGTAATGTTTTTATTGTTTATTTTATTTGAGAATTGCATTTTATATGCCGAATGTCAATTAGATTACATCAAGTTATTCCCTTTCATTTCTGGTTCAAGGCTTTATAGTGATTAATACATCCGTATTTCTATTTAAATTATTTCAGTAACGGAAATATATTTGATATTTATCAACGAATATTTATGAAATACATGAATATTTTCAATGAGCCTAATATATTGTTAACCCATTGTATGTAATATAGTTTTATAACTTACGTATTCATCAAATAGGAAATAATTTTTTGCTGAAAGTTATATCAATGATAATAGTATATACTTTAATCTATTAATTTAATATATTCCTACTTACAATTGTCTTTCAATTATGTGCTTTTTTATAGATAAGTCAGTACCTGAATTAATTGCTAATTTTGTTCGCTCTCTATATTCAGTTATGTTTAATCATATCAATATATTTAAATGCTTATTTTGAAAAACTACATTATATTATTAAAAAGAATGTCAAGTAAAAAAAGAATCAATGTCACATATTCTTAATAATATTCCCGATTAAAGAAGTAAAAAACATATAAAGAAGGAAGTTAAGATAAAACAGAAGTATCTAGAATATTCTATTTAGACGGTCAGAATATTATGTTTGTTAGAAACTGTTTGATTTCTTGGCTCGAACTGCCAATGTTTCGATAGCTTTATAATAATTTCCGCCCGCCCTAGCAGATGCTTGGGAAGGAGTTAAATGGAAGGGCTGTAGAAATACAGTATCTGCTTCTTCAATAAATATGGTTTATTATGGTTTCCTTACAATCACATTATTGAGGTGTTGGATTCATGCGATAGAAAGATGTATCCCTATGTTCAATCACGAAGATGCAGTTCACACAATCCTATGGTGGATGGTTTATCTACACGAGATGGTCCTTGATTACGAAAATGAGTTGTTGCTGATCTTGTAAGAATACTTACGCGAGAGAATATTACATTTCTAGATCCTATTATATATTAACTTCACACAAACACTTTATAACCGGTAGATCTATTTGGTAAGTATCATAATTTTAACATTAGGAGAGTTGTAGAATTTATACTATAAGATACAAAATATTTATTGAAACTATAATATGATTGATACAAATGAAATAAACGTATTTTAATTAGATGAATGAATAAAACTTTGTATGAATTACATTAAATAAACATTAAATTTTTAGCTTTTGTTATACTATCAAACGAATTAATTGAATGCAATATAATTATCTAAATATATTTAAAAACTTGTTTTTCTTATTATAAAACTTATTCCGAAATATTTTCTTTACATTGCTCATATTTGTACAAAATGCAACTCGTCGTTCCGACTTGTTTGATCAAGGCCGGTTCGACGGATACAATTTGATGCCATTGACGACTCAGAGACCACGGGTGTTGTGTGGTAGCGATGACAGGTCACAAGTGGAAGGGATATTATAATAATACAATGAAGATATGGCTGAAGTATATGCTTTTTATTCTGTTATTTATTAATGACAAGGTTGACTAGTATTACTATTATTACTTGTAGAACTAACTCTTGGATTGAAGTAATGTATTGCGGAGATAACTGTACGGTAATCTATGCAGCTTGATTGTTGAATACGAATGGCGAATGGCGCGAAGTCTCGTTCATCGACACTATGAGTGCAGCTTAATGACTGAAAGATACCGCAAAGTGGCGCGAAAGTGGAGTCGTCGAGACTTGCGCTGTGTGTTGCTTAATTTCATAAGCTTCCAAACTTGAACTAAGGTGAGGGTTGCTAAAAATGAGACGCCCCTGGCGGACGCGAAACTTGACGACGCGTACTGGAATATATTCCGCACTGTCGTTTTAAGAGGAGCTTCCTCGTCCTTAGTGCTTTTGATGTAATACTCTGAATCTCAATATATATATATATTTATTGTAGTCGATGGTACTTACAAAGACTAATCGTTGACTCGGCTTTGGACTCTGATAGGTCCCTTGAAATAGGTAACTTCAGTTTCTTGAACTGCGTTAGTGGACATACGGGTTTATGTCGTGATTCCTCCGGGTCAGTAACTACTGTTCCAGTAACAATGTTAATGGACAATCCGAAGAAGTGTAAGTCGTTCCCGAAATAGCGCTAAATAGACTTTCAGTAAAACTTAACTGAGTATGAAATGTCTCAAGGGTTTAATGTATTGAGAGAGTATTAGTAAAAGAGAGATATCAAAAAGAGAAACACTTCAAAAAAAAGTAATATCACGAAAATACTACTAACTGAAAACTATCAAGAGTAAATATCAAGGCAGTTAAATATTTACAAGTGATAAGGATTAAGAGAGTTAAGTATCGAGAGTAAATGAGTGTTGAAAATTGCGCCCCTTAAATACATTTTGCTGACCATGAATTTTACTGGAACCCCTTCCCTTATTTTCTGTCCAATCAGAGACTCCTCCCTTATAGTGCGAGGGCAGCGCCTGTTTTGGCTTCGGAGTTAATTAAGGGCCTAGTCGTCTCTGGGTCTTCACGGCAAAAAGAGGTCTCATTACCTCTGACACATCTGGTGACAGCATTGCAACTTGTAGACAGCGGGATGGGGAAAGAAGGTCCGCTTACAGTAATGCTTGATATAGTTGCCGAGCGGAACGAAAATGCAGATGTCAAAACTATGTTTTATGACACTAATGCGTGAGAATTTTGAGCAAGCAAAGTTTTGAAATCCAAATACAAATTTTACGATGTCACATGCCAGATGTTTTATTGCACTGACAAAAAAGGAAAAATGTTCTCGCATTCTCGAACAATATTATTTAACATGATTGATGATATGATAACAAGTTCTCATGAAAAGTTTTAAATAAAACTGTAAAAATTTACACAATCTGTACGAAGCCAAACAGCAATGATACATAAATAGAATTCCTGTTGCAGTGTGTAAGATTATATAGGATAAATTATACCGATACATATATTATTTATTTCTAATTTTTAATAAATACGCATTGATATTATATTCGATAATTTATTTTTTATTTTTAGGCCAGTGTTATTTCGATTTACTCAATTATACTTTATCATAACAATTCATCAAATATTATAATATAATGTAAATAAAATAGGACGTTTGTATTATTTAATAATACATTTTTCATTTATCTTGTAGTTAATACGTTAAACCATTTTTACTGGGTAACGGATGTATCTGATTTATCTTTGGAATCAAGTACAGGAGCCATAAGTACAAAAGTTACACTCGATCGAGAAATTCGTGATCGCTACATACTAAATGTGGAGATTCGTAATGATGTATCTATTGGTTATTGTCAGGTAAGAATATATTTCCAGTCAATTTTGATCATGAAACTATATGAATATAAATTGTGAAACAAATGTTTTAAAATTTAATTTTTATAAATTAATAAATATTATATAACTTAATTACCGCTTATTTAAACAGAAGTTGTTTTTATTATCTATATTTATAAAAATTTTTAAATGATATTATATTTACTAAGAAATCGAAAACATTAATTTGGTTAATAATGATTAAATTCTGTAAGGTAAAATAAATTTTATATAAAACATATATATTTCACATAAAACTAAACTTGTCATAGTTGTACAAATATAAACCAATATTAGATATAGCTTGAGTGAAATTCGAAAACATGATAATGATGTTTGTATTTATGGTGTATGTTTGTTTATTTTACTTAATATTAATTATTTTCATTAATTGTCCATTAAAAAAAATCAATTATATAAAAAATGATTTGTGAATATTTTTTTATTTAAATACTTGTAGATGTATTATATAAAGACGATTAAATTTGACCTGTAATGTAAATGAATGAATTTCTTTTGATATGAATATTGTTATATCTTATTGAAATATGATTTAAATAATTAAGTATTAAAAATAATTTGAAGGATTCGAAAGAAACAATACTACATTTTTATAACAATATAGATGTCGCGTTATAATATTTTTAAGAAATTTAAAACGTATACCCAAGCTTTAATTTAATATTATCATATTTTATAATAGATATATAAACAAAATTTTAAATCTTATATATTAATTACAATGTTGTTTATGTTTATTAAATCTTCTGATATAAGTAAATATAAATATGCACATGCTACTGTATCATATACAAGAAAATTATATAATTAATTCATACCATTGTTCAGATAACAAATAGAAACCTTTATTTAATTTTTTAATAAAAGGAAATAACTTTAACACTACTTTACACTTACTATGTTAGAAGTGTAATATATATATATATATTGTTATTGACGATAAAGAAATAAATTGAAAATTTTTTTTTTACATTACAGGTAGAGGTAATTGTGGAAGACATAAATGATAATCCACCATCTTTTAGATTAAATAGTGTTAGAATTTCTATAGCTGAGTCACATCCACTTCATGTAGCTCTTTACGTAGCTTATGCAAAAGATATCGATTTAATACCTACCACACCTTTGCGTTACGTTATTGGCCAGAATATTAATCAGTTATTTGGTATTGACGATAATTCAGGTGAAGTTTTTTTAACACGGCAATTAGACTATGAAACTCAACATCGTCATCGGTTGGTTATTAGTGTATTTGATGGAGCCGGTTTATCAGCAAATCTCAGTCTCAACATTGATGTTCAAGATGTGAATGATAATCCTCCTGTGTTTGAAAGAAATGAATATTATGTTGAAGTTATGGAGGATATCAAAATCAATTCACAGGTATTTGAAAACCCAATTTATAACATAGTATATTTTCATTTTGAGTAAAAATGTATTAATATATTATTTTATGTTAACGATTATACTTATTACCCATCATTGTTAGTTATTGAAAGTATATTAATTTTATATATTTTCTTTATTATTTTATTTTATTCTTCAGATAACTATACTTATTATCAGATAACAACGCTGTTTATTGACTTGGTACTTTAAACCTTATATAATTTTATATAAATATTTCATATTTTAATTTTTTCTTATAATATATTATGTTTTGTAAATAATTTATAATATATAGTTCATTAAAAATACGTACAATAAAAATTATAATTAATACGAATGATAACTAATACAAAAAACAATTATTTAGATACTACAGGTAACTGCAGTAGATTTGGATACAGGTAACAATGCTCGCTTGAGTTATCGCATAGACGATACAGGGCCATTCGAAATAAATTCTAGTAATGGGTGGATAATTTTAATATCTGAGTTAGATCGAGAAACTCTTGATCGATATACTCTGACTGTATTAGCAACTGATAGTGGATCGCCCGCGGTGACGGCCAGTGCTTCTGTAGTCATTTCCGTGCTTGACGATAATGATAATGAACCGCATTTTGAGAAAGATAATTACGAATACAAGTTATTTGAAAATCAACCTGCTGGAATATTTATTGGTACAGTTTTCGCATTTGATTCTGATTTTGGTAATAATGCTCTCTTAAAGTATGGCATCGTACAAATGAATAGCAGCTTTACAATAAATCCTGATACTGGTGAGTTGTACAACAATATATATTTCTTTATAGATATATTGTATACAGTATTTTGTTCAATTTTAAAAGATTTTATGTACTTTCATCAAATTTTCATAATAATCTATTTTAAATCCCTCACTTTCGATATTTAATTCAATTAAAATATGTATTTAGTTATGAGAATTCAACATTCTATTATTTTGTTAATTTCTTAATAAAATGTTTCCGTTTTATACCAAAATTTAAGTATGATTTAAAAACATATTTTAGTAATAATTTTGAATATGATAATTTGTTTAGAATTAAACTATGGTCACAAGTTTACTGGTGGAATTAAAGTGGAGATAAGTGGAGGGGGTATCGCTTCAATTCAGTATTCAACACATCTGCTTTTCATGCTTGTTTATTGCGTTTCTTTTACAACTATACTATAATGATTCTACTGAATATAAGCAAGTGAGCGTTGACACTGAATCCTTGGGAAAGTGCGTGGTGGCACTGAATTTGAGAGAGTCTTGTATCAGCTTTGTGCGCTTGGGCACTATGTATGCAGTTCGACGTTGAGTAGTTGCACGAACTGTCGCGTTTCTTTTCATATCAGTTCTGCTGAGATAGCTTCCTTCTGCCTTGGCGTCCCCATTGTTAGAGTGCGTCTCTGTCTTCTGCGGCGTCCCCGGTAAGAGAGCAATTTCCTCGAAGCGTTCTTGCCTCAAATATCCAAGTATACAGTAGTACAGACTGTATAGCTAGGCGTGACAACAGTGTATGAGATTGTGCACCTTAGATTTTAATTTGAATCTAACGAATTTTTTCAGATGTCTAATGACTTAGGTTTTAACAGATGTTTAACGAGTCGTGTTTTCCCAGATGTATAACGACTTGTGTTTTCTCAGATGTATAAAGACTTGGGTTTTGTCAGATATATAACGACTCGGGTTTGCCCAGATGTCTAACGACTTGGGAAAGTTCTTGCAATTTCGAGCATTCCGTCTGCCATCAGTAATTCTATTGATGATTATTTCTCTTAGTCCGAAATTGGTAGTACTGCTAGCTTATGTATAGGTTTTGCCATTTTGGTCGTAACTGTTTTTAGTGTGACTTCTATGATCAGCCCGTCCTTATCAGGATGAATGTTAATTATTCTACCGAGAGGCCACTTGCAAGGTTGGAAACGATCATCGGTATTGAGTACCAAAGTTGTACCGTTGTAAATAGTGAACTGACCATTGTGACTAGAATTGCTGTATACGTTATTGTATGAATTGTCAGCGAGACAATCCTGACACTGGTAATCCGTTGAGAGAGGGTTCTGGAATCGTTGTTAGCGAGCTCCCTGTAAAGAAGTTTTCTTGGAAAAAGTGCCTACACATCTTACACAACGGACCGACATAATAAACTCCGATATGGGTAAACGGTCGTGATGGCGTGACTCTAGAAACTAGTTATTGTCCCATCAATTGATGACTACGGATTCCCTTTTGTCGTGCGCAAAGAACGCACCGCAGTATGTGTTGTTTCACAGGGAATCTCCTACCAAAAATCGAATATTGTTGGCGAATGTGTGACAATGTAAGTTGCGTGCCTCCATGGAGAGTGTGTTGATGTGCTTGGTCAATGAGGAGAGCTGAAAGGTGGGAGTGTCGTAGGACAATAATTTCATTAAATATAGAAAACTAATTTAAGGTATATTTAAATTAAACATTGTATGCTAAGGTATTAGTTGATCACTATAACTTCCTATTCTTTTAAAAAAATCCATATATTGATTGAAAAATTGAATCTATAATATATGTCTCCATCTCTTCTTCTTCGATCTAATCAATACAGATACTATCTGTTGAAAGTTAAATATTAATTCGTTTCAGAAAAAATCTTTAGTAATATTTAAAACCTTATATATAATATCAATTTCAGATACTTGGAAAATGATTAGAATTTTATTATAAATCTTTTGGTACATTTTAGCTATAACATTTTTATCGCCTTCTGCTGTATATTTTATGTAGCCATCAGATTAATTTGATGTTATCAGTCACCTATCATAGAAAAATTGTATTATTTTTATGTATATATTTTTATGTTCTTCTTTGTTTCAATTCTTTTGTGTATATTTAAATTATGCAAATTTTACGATAATTTTGTTAGTTGAATGAATATCCGTTCGTGTGTTGTATGCACGCACAAGCTTAATACAAAACAGTGCCGAATACGCGTAATGTTTAGAACCATTTTCGATATTAAACAATTTTTCAGAAAGTGTTACTTTTTTGTATATGTTTATTTAATATATAAAAAATAATTACTTGTCCCAATCAAAAATAAAACAAAAATCTAAAATATAATACAAAAAACTTCCAAAAACATCTTTATTATTTTTAACATATTTTTTTAATGATTTTGGGGTACATTATCTATTTGCTATCAAAGTTTAAGGTTAATGTTATTACTATTTAAGATTTGAATGATAACAATTTTGTAAGTTCTTCAATAATTATATGTTTGTTTTTTAAAAATATGTCAATGTAAATATTTTACATTGACAGTTTTTTTATAATTCTAGACTTAATTTATTTTACCATTGACTTGCCAATCACATTCACTGTACAATAAAAAGTATTATTCTACAAAACTGTTTGAATTCTTGTCTCGTACTGCCAATGCTTTGATAGTTTTAATATACTGCCCGCCCTAGCAGGTGCTTGGGAAGGAGTTAAGTGGAAGGGCTGCAGAAATACAGTGTGCGTTTCTTCGAAAGTATGGTTTATGTACAGTTACACTATTGTTGATGAGATTTATATGTTAGGGAAGTGTATACACTATATTCAGTCACGTCCTTGCAGTTGTTTGGAACCGATCTTGTGTTGAATAAGTTGTTTTCTCGAGATGCTCCTTGAGATGTTGATGTTGTTGTTGATCTTGTAAGTAACAGGAACTGATTATGCACACTCCTTATTAGTAAGTGTATTTTTTGCTATTAATCATAGAGTGATGCTAGTTTTGTAACAATTGATAATAATTTAGTATACTTATAAAAGTTTGGTTTTATGTTACTATTAGCCTTTGCTAAGCTTGTAAGTATTAGCAACGATTTATGCCTTAGACTTATTTCACTCACAGAGATTCAGTATCCTTAATCTGATCCTGAGATGAATAGTTCACCATCCGGAATGCTACGTGTTGAGGGTGATGTTGTCGATTTTGCAAGGATCGACAATTATTAAGCACACTCCAAGTGCGGGAGCGTGTCTTGAGTAGTCTGCCCCTTTAGAGTATGAAGGACATGGCGTCAACATCTTTCAATTGCAGCACAGGAAGAAGAGTTAATGCATATTCCTTCTATCGGGAGGTCACTTAGAGCTTGATCACTACTTTATCACCATTAAGTGAGAGTCCCCTTTTTCCTTGACTGCTCTACGTAGACGGCGATTGTATCTGTGTCGTTCCCACTTTTAAGGCCTCTGACAGTGAGTCCCCGCTTAAGGAACGTCTCTGCCTTAGGTTTATCCAATAATGAATGAGCGTGCGCGCCTCTGTCTTCCATCTTCAGAAAGAGTTTGGCTTCGACAGTGGCCACATCGGAAAGAGCGCCTCTAGCGGCAGCGTCTTTAATTAGGGAGCTCACTTTTTTCTTGGACTTCGCGTCGAGAGGAGCTCCTGATTGAAGCATCCACGCTTGGCTTGTACAAGCGGCAACATAGGTAGACTTGACAACAGTGGATACGCTATGTACCGTTACATCAGAAATTATGCTTGTGACGACTATTACCAGATGTCTAATAAGTTGGGTTTTTCCAGATATCGAATGACTCGGATCTTCCCAGATGTTTAGCTACAATGATCTTAGAGATCTTTTACCAGTTGATTATTTTCATACGTCTGACACTCTCGAAAGGTTCTCACAACCTCGAACAACTATATTTTTAATTCTTTTATTTTTAAGTAATATTGTATTTGTTAGCAAGAAAGAAAAATATCAATTCGTCTAATATTTTGTATTATAATAATTTTATATAATCTGATATTAGAAAAATTTTATTGTATGTATCATAAATATTTCACTTTTATTTAAAAGCCTCTGGAATATTAAGCTGAAGTGTTATAAGTAATACCATATCAGTAAATATACGTATAGAAATGAGGAATGTAATGACTTTTATTGAGACAAATTATAAAATAATAAGAGCTACATAATTTATATACATATCTAAATTATTCATTTTGTAAGTTTCTAAATAAACTATGCCATATATTAAGATTATTGACCAAATACAGTAATGTATACAGTTAAGGAATATTAAATTTTTTTATACTATTTTTTAATTTTACAGGTGAAATAAAAACGCGCGAACTGTTAGATCGTGAGATGAAGGCTGTGCATGAATTAACATTAGAAGCACGTGATCAGGGTCGGCCTTCGCGAACTACTCGAGTGTCACTAAAAATAATTGTAATGGATGTAAATGATAATACACCAGAAATTATTGATCCTCAAAGTGATATGATAAGTGTACGTGAGGAACAACCATCTGGCACTGAAGTTACTCGAGTCAGAGCTTTTGACAATGATGAAGGCAATAATGCTTCTATTACCTATACAATTGTTAAAGGTAGTTATATATATTGAAAATTTGTAATTTTTTATTAAGTTTTATACCTTTAATTTCATATATGTTAATTAAATAATATAATTATAACGTACAATAATTGTTACTTAAGAAAACTTTGATCACTAATATTTTTAAGGTATATGGACATGTATCTATTTTATTCTATTAAATTTTATGAAAACGTTCCCAGTTGTATAAATAACTTATGCCCAATAATACATAACTTCTACCGTAGCTGAAATTATTACAACATTCGCACTATAACTCCAGTTACCTGAAGTAATATATGTCATATCCGTAGCTGAATCCACTCTTCATATAGAAAAAGAGAGAATTAATATTTCTATTGTAACTCACTTAATTTAATTTATCTTTTTTAGAAGCATTTATCAATTAAAATTTCCTTTCTAACCGTTGGAATATCCTATTCGTTATAAATTTTTTTTACCGTTCGTAATTAGATTTTATTATCAAATATATAATTAGCATACTATAAGAAAATTTTGCAAACTTTAATTTTATTTGTATTACTTTCAGTATACATGTTTATTTTGAAAAGTTTGCCCTTAAATTAAATTATCATATATGAAATCAATAAATTTTACACTTATGATTCGTTATCCTTTAGCATCCTTGTATATAAATTATACTTCAAATTATTTCAATCATGAGAATTGAAAAATATAGTAGAACTGAAAGGAATTTCATTTTATGCATAAAAAAAATATTTTATTAAAGCATTTATTAATCATCCGTATATGTATGTTGGTTTAATTATAATTTTATCCAGCATATTTAATTACATTTATTTAACGTTTAATAAATGAAATAAGATTTTAAATATTGTAAAATAACATGAAAAAAATACAAATATAAATGTTTATTTTCAGAATTTGTTAAATTATAGTAACAAATATAATAAAATTAAAAGAAGTTCATTGTCAACATAAACAATCGTGAACTCTCAATATATATTTAAATTTATTTCAGATCATGACTCGAATGGTTACAATTTTTTTAATATCGATCCCATTAGTGGTATGATAAAAACAAAAGTTATACTGGATCACGAAGAGTGTAATATGTATCGACTATCAATAAAAGCAAGCGATGCCGGTAGACCAGAACGATATAGCGTACGGATCTTACAAGTTGAAGTCCTTGCATTAACAGACAATCGTCCAACTTTTACTACGAGTAGTCTTATCTTTAATGTAATTAATATTATTAATTCATTTATATCAATTTTATATAAACTCTTTACGTTATAAATCTTTTACTTTGTATTTGTTTTGTTTATTAAATACATGAAAACTAAATACTTATAATTAAAAAAATTAAATAGCTTTTTGTAATATATCAAATATTTATACATTATCTGATTTTATCGATTACTAATAAAATATAATTGATATTAAGGATATAAATTATTGTTTCTATGAATTTTTATTTTACATAAATAGATAATTAGAAAAAATTAACCAAATTCTAAATAGAAAAATTGATTAAAATAGACGTGAAAATATTTAAAACATTTCTAAAAATGTTTTAATTTTAGAATTTTATTTTAAACTTTAATTCATAAATTTAATTTAAATTTTATATGTACACATAAATAAGTTATAATTTGTAACATTCAAACACAAATAATGATAACATTTTAATTTATTAATCCGAAAAATTCTACTTTTGTTTCTATTATTTAGATTTGAATACATTCAATTTTTACAGTATTTACAAAAATTAGTTTTTTCAATTTTATAGTCGTATATAAATTTTTATATTTACAAAAAGAAAGTTTCTGTAATAGTTTATAAAAAATAACATTATTTAATGTATATTATGAAATTTTTAGTATTTATTTCATAAAAACCAATAAAAAATTATAGATTAATTTTTTAAATTTCTACAAACGATTATATTTCTTTGTGTATTGTATATAAATATATTCTAATGCAATGTTGTATTTAAACTTACTCATATAAATAATTTAGAAATATTAAAAATATTAATTAAAAATATATAAATAAACACTATAAAAATAAATATAATATAATATTTAACTAATTATATGTAGAAAATGAAAATCTTATTTTAATAGGTACGTGAGGATACAAGAATTGGTGAATCTGTAGGTTCAATATCTGGCACTGGTACTACCGGTCGAATCACCTACACAATTGATTTACTACGGCCTCTCGGTGTAATACCTGCATTCGATGTGGACCGAATCACAGGGCAATTAGTAGTAGCGTATTCACTTGATCGTGAAAATATTAGCGAGTATCATTTGACTATCCGGGCTCTAGATACAACACTTATTGGAAATCCACAAAGCATCGCTGTATCTGTAAAAGTTAATATTGAAGATGTAAATGATAACTCACCTCGGTGGGGACAAGATTTAATTGTCATTAAAGTTTCGGAACGTGCATTAGTTGGTTCCATAGTTTATAATTTTATTGCAACAGATTTTGATGATGGAATAAATGGAGATCTTCGTTATAGTCTTGCAGCAGAGTATCCACAAACTGGTAGTTTTGCCATTGATTCTTTAACTGGTGCATTAACAATCATACAGCCTCTTGACTATGAAGAATGTTCTGAATATATCCTAGTATTCAAGGCTGAAGATCAAGCTTTAATAATGGAAAGACTCGCTTCTACAATTACCTCTAAAATCCTAATACAGGATGAAAACGATAATGATCCAATATTTATAGCTCCAGAAAATACAAAAATCTCTATTGCTGTAAATACACATGGTAAATAAAATAAATTTTATTAATTTTAAATATATTCATTTTAAAAGATTATATTTTAATTACTTATTTGTTATAATATTAATTGGTGGCCATTCTAAAATCTTCATTTGCAATAATTACATATTTAACTGAATTCATATTATTGTAAAAGAATGAATTTAGATAAAATTTATATAATTTTTATTTAGAATTCAATGAGTGCTTATTTATTTATTGATACGAGAAATATAGATATTAATATATATCTTTAATATTTTTATGTGTAATAAATAAACATTCTTTTGTTTTAATTTTAAATGTTAATATTGCAACATTATTGTACATTTTAAAAAATATAACGGTACAAAATGGTCTATCAGATTCTGCAGTGTTACGGGTTATGGCGGTGGATAAGGATGCGGGTGATAATGGACGTGTATCATATACAATTAGCTCAGGTAACGAAGACAGATATTTCTCTATTGGTAATGAGACAGGACTAGTAAATTTGATACGACCATTAATGCAGCCTACGACTCTCGAGATTAAAGCAAGTGATCATGGAATGCCATCACGGACAGCTGTCATAAATTTAACACTAACTCCATATGTAGAACAGCTGCATGATCTTCCTCGATTACTGCTTCCTAATCCAATTGTTAGAATTTCAGAGAATCTTAAGATCGGAACAAATATAATAAATGTAGCTGGAATAACTCCATTAATAAATGGTAAATATTAATGTTATATATTCATTTACTGCTTTACTGAAATATTTTTTAGAACTGTATGAAATAGTTTGTTTCAAAATTAAATAAATAAATGTCTAAATATTCTTCAATTACATTACGATTATTAATTATTGTATTAATCAATATTATAGTATTTTATTGTTTAATGTATAGAATTTAATGATTTAATTTTTACTATTGAGTAAATTATATTTCATTATATATAAATTTATTCGAATAATAAATTTTAAATTTAATAGTAAATTTAGTATATAAAAGAAAATTAATATTAATATGTCATTACATAAATGTTTTAAAATATATCAAAAAGTAATTTAAAGTATTTTAGCAATAATAACGAAAACTTTAGAGTTCTTTTTTTAATTTTACCGGATCAGACATTTTTAAATTATCCAAATATCAAAATTTTTAAATATATAAATATTTAAAAACTTATTTTCCTAAATAACATTAAATCCCATATTTAAAAGAAGCTTTAATTTACAATTAATGTTTATTGAATGTATTTTACTATGTAGTTTCAAATATATATTTAAAAATTATATCATTAATTAGTCGAAATTCTAGTGATAACAATTTGATACTTGAAATAAGGTTTTTTAATTAATTATAAAAATATTCCACAATTCGAACAAAAAAAAACTTAAAATAATGTTAAAAATATTTAACATTATAACAAAAATTTAACAGTTAATTGTATAACAATATATTATTTCATTACATTAAATTATTTTTTATTAGAGATAAATTTGTTAACATTATTAACACGCGAAAACATATTTATTTATTGTTCAATTTTTTATGTCAATTCGGCATTTAAAAATGTGTTAAGATTTATGTTTTAAGTGTATTTTTTAATTTAAACTTTTTATCTCAAATTTTATTTGTATATAACATATTATTTGTAATTATTAATATAAATTTAATTAAGAAGTTTTGACCTAATTTTAATAAAAAAAATGTTTTAGGAAATATAACATTTCGTATACAGAATGATATAGTATCAGATAAATTTAACGTGTCAAATAATGGTTTGGTCAGTTTACTGACTCCTTTGGATCGTGAAGATATTTCTAACTATTTCGTACCAATTCTTGCTCAATCTAATAAAATTCTCGATTTCACAACTCTTGAAATCGTTGTACTCGATGAAAATGATAATAACCCAGAATTTAAATCAGATTCTTGCCATACTCTTACGATACCAGAAAATAAAGAAACTACAGTGATACATTCATTCGCTGCCACAGATGCTGATGAAAACAAAAATAGTGAGATAACGTACAGTATCATAAGTAAGTAATTCACATAACTTAATTATTGTTTATAAAATTAGTTTGTTATTTGAAATGTAAAATTACTAGCATATTTAATTAATAATAAAAAATATTTATATACAAATTTACAAATAATGAAATTTTTTGTTTTTAGTAAATTTATATTTTTATACACATTTATTATTTTTCTTTTATAAAAAATATACAAATAACTTGAAAAAATTACAGATGGCAACATCGGTTCAAAATTCAAGCTAGATCCTGTGACAGGAATATTGTCAGCTTCTAGTTTAGATCGTGAACTCGTTCCAAAATACGTATTAATTATATCTGCGAAAGACAAGGGTCATCCAAGTCGTGAAACAAGATGTAATCTTACTATTATTGTACTAGATGTTAATGACAATTCACCAATTTTTTTACATAATCAATATAGTAATTCTGCATTATCTTCTACATATATGAGTAGTAAAGGTGATGGAAATTTCGAAAATTACCATATGAGTACCTTTACTCAAGGAAAGTATACAACAACCATTTCTGAAGATATTGCGGGCGGATCAAGCATTATGCAAATACGAGCGATTGATTTAGACCAAGGACTTAATGGTAAAATTACATATTCTATTACCGGAGAATCTACCTGGCTTTTTCGTGTTGATAATTTAACCGGGATCATCACAACAGCTGGGTATGTTAATTATTTACATTCAATAATTAAGCCGATATCTTTATATGTTTTTTGAAAATAAAGAATCTAAAATAATTTTATAATCTAACAGATAACTTTATTAATCTAACAGATTTTCTATTATTTATTATACATTAAAATAGAAATCTATAAGCTTTAATAATAATTTATGATATTAACTGAATTAAAAATGAAAAAATAATATTAATTAAATAATAAATTAAATATACATACGCTTATTACAAATTATTGTAATATATAATATTCATTAAAGTTGAATAAAATATTTAAATAAAATTTTGAAATTTTTTTTAATAAATTAAATTTTTAAGATTATAATTAATCCTATTAATTTTATTATATAATTATAATATATTAATAATTTAGTATGATCAAACTCATATTAACAGACGAAAATATTAAAACGCAAAAACAATTTCTTTTATATTTTCTTCATGAATATTTTAAACAAAAATTTTATATTATATATACTTTTATTGCGTCCATAATTTTTAAAATATATAAATAACAATTTAATATATAGCTAGTTATTTTAAACATTTAATGATTAAGTAATCTATTATATAAGTTTTAGAATATTGAAATTTTAAGTGAGTGTTACGATGAAAATTAAAAGTTAAAATATGAATGCATTAAATAATTTACAATTTATTTTAAAAGAATGTTATATATAATTTTTATATCATTAATGCGTATTCTTACTTATTAACTTTACATAGAAACTAGCCTTATTCGATTCCTGATCCAGTAATTCTAGATTTTGTTTTTCTGAATCTGCTGACAACTATTAATTATTGATGTCTTTGATATATTATAGTGTATATAATTATCGTGAATTATATTTAACTTGGTTTATTCGGTGTACTGCAATATATTATTCTTTAGCACGAAACATTTATAACTACTGTATTTTATGGAGAATAATTTATCTTTGTATAGCATAATTTATATTTTTATGTTGCCATATCGAAATTATAATATTTATATTTTTATTTCAGATTATTAGATCGCGAATGTGAAAGTTTCTACTCATTTCTTGTAATAGCAAGTGATTCTGGAAAATCTGAAGCCCGGCAGACGTCTGTACCTATTGAAATTCATATCAGCGACGTAAATGACAATAATCCTATTTTTGAAGAATATCCATACATAGTTCAAGTACCAGTAAGTACGCAACCAGGTCAAAATATTTTACAAGTAAAAGCTAATGATGAAGATTATGGAGTGAATAGAGAAATCCTATATGCAATTTCTCCACACGAGAAAAATAAAACAAAATTTCGAATCCATCCAAGTACTGGGATGGTGACTATTCTTTCATCTCTTACTCAAGAAAATGGCTTAGTTTATAGGTTAGATGTTACTGCCACAGATAAAGGCAATCCAAATTTGAGTGCAACGTCTCTCATCGAATTTCATATTGGTGATATTTTAGAAAGTGTGCCTCTTTTAAAATTTCAAAAGGAATGCTATGATATTGTTATTCCTGAAAACTCTACAATAGGCACTGAAATAATCCAAGTAACTGCAGTGAGATCAGACGGTAGAAGACAACAGATTGTGTATTCTATTGGTTCAGGAAATGACTATCAGATTTTTGATATTCATGAAAAGACGGGTATACTCAGAGTTAATAATCTATCGAATCTTGATACTAAATTATGCAATAAGATGAAGCCAAATTTTAATTCGAACAAAAATCCAGTGACCATAGAAAAATATCTATCTGATACAATTAAACGAAAACAAATAATTGAGCAAGTAGAAAAAGGCTCAAATTATATTGTAACACTCATCGCTAAAACGGTTGGTTTATATCCGTTGCAAGCTTATGCAAAATTAATTATACGTATATCTGATGTTAATGATAATGCACCGATTTTTACACAATCTCAATATTCAGCTACTGTACTAGAAGGCAATATTAAGGGAGAATTTGTTGTAAAGGTTAGTCACAAAATATTGAGTATATTATACTATAAGATGTTAGATTATATTTTTTAACTTAATGACATAGAATATATAAATGATTACAAAAATACTAAAATTAATTATAATATTAACAGTCAGTTAACTAAATTTGATTAATCAACCTTATTAGTTGTTTCATATATGATTCATTTTTTATAGCTTTTCGCTAATGATATTGATCAAGGAGTAAATAGTAGATTGCTATATCATATAGTAGATGGTAATCCAGACAATGCATTCACTATTAATCCATCATATAGTGGGATTGTACGTACTAATATTGTTCTTGATCGTGAAATTCGAGAAAAATATCGATTAACTATTATAGCTACTGATCAAGGTTCTCCGCAATTAACTGGAACAACTGCTTTAAATATAAGAGTAATTGACATAAATGATAATCAACCTACTTTTCCAGAACATAAAATCATTTATGTTTCAGAAGGTAAACTTTTTTTCAATTTTCATATATTTATGATTGTATATTATATAATTTTATTAAAGATATTTAGTTACTTTTGTGTAAGATATTTTATCATTATATTATATAATATATTCGTACTTTTATACATTTATATATATATATATATATATATATATATATATATATATATATATATATATATATATATATATATATATATACCATATAATTTAATTTAATATAAGACTTATCAAAAGTGAACCGATTTAAAATGAAATAGTTTACTGATATTACAACATTTTTCTTAGATACAATTCAAGGTACCGTACTTACAATCATTACAGCTAATGATATCGACACTTCACCGGTATTGATGTACCGCTTTGGAAATATCAGCTATCCAAGTTTATTTAGTATCGATCGTTTTAGTGGTCGTGTTGTCTTAATTGGTAAACTAGATGCTGAAACTCGTACGGAATACACGCTTCAAGTAATAGTAAGTGACGAAGTCCATGAAACAGCAACTAAATTAACGATTGAGGTGCTTGATATTAACGATAACTCACCTTATTTTGATCAAGTTTTTTACATCACTACACTCGCGGGTATGTTTACAAAGATTTATAATATACAATTTATTGTTTATATTTACATAGCCTTCATTTACAATTACAGTTATTTTTCACGAAAAATACTTTTACTCAATATTCTATCATAATATAAATAAAACGATGGTTTCAGTATGTATATTTAATTTAGAATATTAAACATAACTGAATAATATGAAAAGTTTGCTATTGCTAGATCAACTATATTAAAATTCAATAAATTTAATAATAAAAAAATTGATTGAAAGGTTGATTGAATAAAAGGTAATAGGTTTATTTTTCAGCAACCATGGGCTTCTATTTTTTTACCTTTGTCCAAAATTCGACAACACTTATTTCCCAATAACAAGTAAAATCTATAAATTTTCCTTTTCTCGTACATTATAACTGCATATAAAAAATATATATGAAATTTTACTATTATTGAATATGAATATAGTATTATTTTCATCACCAATCAGAAAAGTAACAATCGAATAGAAATATCGTTTTTTCTACCCCCTTTACAACATAAAATATTAAATCCAGTTTTTTAAAGTTATAAAATTATGATTTATATTAATTTATTTGAAGTTAAAAAACAAGAAAGTATTTAAACTATATATATTTCCAAATATTTTTTTACAGAAGAACAGAGCAACATACAGAAAGTATTAATTGTAAATGCAACTGATGACGATTTAACAGAAGAAAATAACAAAATCCATTATCGTCTTCATCATCCAGAAAAAGGGTTTAAAATGGAAGCTACTACTGGTGTGCTCATTATAAATGAAACAGCGTTATCAAAACCTATGATAAATGAAATTGAATTGGCAATAATAGCAGAAGATTCTGGAAAGCCATCTCTTAGTACTATGTGTTCTGTGATAGTACGTTTTAATACACTCAAAAACGGTCAATTAGGAAAAGAATACAAAATTTTAATAAAGGAAAATGTCACAAAAGGTACCAATTTATTACAAATCTCAGATATTAATTTGCCTAAAAATTCGATGATTAGTGGTGATGATATTGGATTATTTGAAATATCTATGGGTAAACTTATTGTGACTAAATCATTGGACCGAGAAGAGAAGGATAGGTATATTTCATATATTAGTATTTCTGTTATTTTACATTTTTAAGTACAAAATTTGATTTAATTATTACAAGCTAAATTAATGTTATTGTATTTTTTAGTTATATTATACATGTAGGCGTCAAAAAAGAAAACTCTACAGCAGGATTTTTTATCGAAGAAGATCCTGTTATGATCGTAATTAACGTAGATGATGTTAACGATAATTATCCGTATTTTTTTGACTCAGTTCGTGAAGTTACGATTAAAGAAGATACACCTATTGGATATACAATCGCCAATATTATCGCTCGCGATAATGATCTTGCGGGAAGTCCTGCAGCAAAAATAGTTTATGATATAATTTCCGGTAATGATGGTAACAAATTTTGTATTGATAAAAATTCTGGTGTTCTTACAGTAAATGATAGTCTCGATTGTGATGTTGGATTAAAAGTATACCACCTTGTAATAATCGCTTGTGATAGTGATATTGTAGTTACTCTATGTACAATAATGCAAGTACATATACAACTTGAAGATGTAAATGATAACTCACCTACATTTCCTGTATCTGAATATCTAGAATTTGTTGGTGAAAATGAGCCTATAGGTACAGTAGTATTTATTGCTCACGCTTCTGATCTTGATGGCGGAGTTTATGGTAAGCTTGAATATTCTATTATCTCATCAGCAAATAATGGATATTCTGATATGGATGAAAGCTGGAAGCTCTTTTCAATTGATTCAAATAGTGGAGCCATCTCAACATGTGCCATTTTTGACTATGAACAGCGTAATCGATATACTTTTACTTTATGTGCTACTGATACTGGTGGTCGTACTGCATCAGTAAGAGTTCGTATCGAAATAGACTCGCGAGATGAGTTTTATCCGCAATTTATCGAACGTATGTATCACTTTAGTTTTAAAATAAATGTTCGAGTTCTTCCTGGTATAATAATTGGTCATGTAACAGCAACGGATAGAGATAAAGGAGTCGATGGTCGAGTTGTTTATCAGCTTACATCACAACATCCATATTTTAAACTAAATAGAACAACGGGAGCATTGATAGTTAAACAGAAACTGACGCATTTTGATATGAATACTAAAGATTCATCCAGATTAATCGTGAGTGCTAGTTCTGGAAAACAAGGTTCTTTATCTAATATGACAATAGTAGAAATATCATGGTTAGATAATGATTTATCGTTATCATATGATACAAGTGTTTTTACCGCGCCAAACATAAGTTCAAATATGACTGTTACTGGAAGTAATGGTATTGCTGACTGGGCTTTTGGTCTTTTAATTACGTTATTTTTACTCATTATTGCTTTTGGTTCATTTTTTCTGTATTTATATATAAAAAATCGATATTATCAAAATCCTAGAAAAAAATCTGGATTCGGTGGAGATAATAATCCAACTGCATCAAATAGTTATGTCGATCCTAGTGCTTTTGATACTATACCTATTAGAAATATTACGACAGTTAGTTCAAATGAAAATAATAATATTATAAGTAGAAATAATGAAGATGAAACGCCTTGTCAATTTATACCACCAAAATATGATGAAATTCCACCATATGACGTGCCTGGCCAATCGGGAATTCAAGCAACGTCTGAATTATCTGGCAGTCGTCAATCTGGATCATCTGGTCGCGGCTCTGCTGAGGATGATGGAGAAGATGAAGAAATTAGAATGATTAATGAAAGTCAACACTTAGGAGATTCTATAAATGATCTCACAGTTCATAATACTCAAGAGTACTTAGCAAGATTGGGAATAGTAGATCCACCTATTGGCATATCAAGAAAATTACCGGATACTTCAGCACTTGACAACTTACAATTATTTGAAAATGAAGCAGAACATGACGCTGATTTAACTACATTAATTTATGGTAAAATTAGTAATTCAAGTAGGCCTACCTCAAGCCTTGAAATACCAGGTGGTCCATCAATGAATGGTTCTTTAAGTTCTATAGTTCATAGTGAAGAAGAATTATCAGGATCGTACAATTGGGATTATTTATTGGACTGGGGTCCACAGTATCAACCTTTAGCTCATGTTTTTAGTGAAATTGCAAGGCTAAAAGATGATACAGCAAGTGTACAAAGTGGTAATTCTGATAATAATAGCAAATTAAAATGTTTACATAAAGAACCACCTCCACCTCTCTTAACTTCAGTAGCGCCAAGATTGCTAAATATTCCTGTTATGGCCAGAGGACTACTTCCCAGGTCACCAATTAGTCATGATGCTTCAACATTTCCGTCTGCAGCATTAAGTCCAAGTTTTTCACCTTCTTTATCACCGCTGGCTAATAGAAGTCCTAATATCAGTCCATTAGTTCCAAGTACAACATTAAGGATGAATCAATGCCCACCCAGAGGAATATCTATAAATGATACCGAACTCAGGATTTAGCATAATATACACAGTTTTATATAAAACTTGTTGATAAAATCATTTTGTGATAAAAAAACTTGTATTGTGGAGAGGAAAGACTTATTATCTACATTTATATAAACTGGAATAGTTTTAATGTAGTTATTATTTCTTTTACGTTAAATTAAATTACTCTATATTTTAAATAATTTGTAAATATCTGGAATTTTTATTTTATAAAAATGTATAATTTTATTGCTTGATTTGCATAATTTTAAAATATTAATTTTCTAAGTTAATATACAAAAATATTTATTTATTAATAGCAGAATAGTTATTATATAATAACAATTTCGTTATGTAGATATATATAATAATCAATGTTTTCAATAAAATAGATAGATATCGAATACAAAAATTAGTATTTTATTTCAGTTTAAATAATATTTCAAATTTTGTGCTATAAAAGCTACCTTTAATTTTGTATCCTGTATGAGTAAAATTCAATATATTAGCAGTACATAGTATAGTATATTGTGTGTATATTTATATATAATTTTCTTTGATTTGTGAAATCTATTTTTAATTAAATGTACGAATTATTACAAAATAATATGGTAAAAAGATATCGTAAGTAGCAAAACGAATAATATCAACACTATTCTTAATGTTGTCGATATTTTACTATATTTAAATTTGATAAACAATCACCGAGCTAAATATAAGAACTAGCAAAGCTATATAAGCATCAATTATATATCATTAGATATAAATCTAAAAGTACAAATAATTATCTTTTTTTAATATTGTATATTGTTTTTGGTTTAATAATAAAAAATCTACGTAAAACTAATTTAAATCTGTAATATATTTTAATTTATCTGATATATTTTGAAAAGTGAGTAAATGAAAAATAAGATAAATTATTTTCATATATTCAAATTTTTCAAAAATTGTATGATATAGAATACTTGTTTATAAAAAATATAATTATTTTAACGTATATATAAATTAAAATAATTCTTCCATATAGGAACATGAAAAGAAAATACTTAGTATTTTTTATTTTATAAGCTTTTGACTTTATTATATTTTATAAATACACGGTTTTATTTATAAAATTTATTTTTAATGTAGTAGTGTTTTGTGTAATTTGCCTTTATTATTGAATATAAGTATAAAATTAATTACTCAAAAGAATGAGAATTAAAAAAATGTAATAATTTTTCATTTACTGTAACATGCATACTAACGGCAAATAATAAATATTATTTGCTGTATGCTTTTCAAGTTCAAATTTATTTTATATTTAATATTAGCGCAACTGCTTTCAAAAATAATTCTTAAGATAAATAAAGAATTAGCGTGACATAAAAATGTTTTACATAAATATGCTTTAAAAATACTCATCCTGAGAAAATTATATTTTTGCCTTGTTACACTTTATATGAAAATAAAATTAAATAAAAATTTAATAAAATTAAAAAGTGATTATTGGTATAAAATCATGAATTAATGAATACTGTTCGAATATTACTATTTTTTTAAAGAGGTTAAACAAAAAATAAATATTCATTATTTCAAAAAGTAGATAAACAATTTAAATTTGTATTTTTTGTAATTTGTAAGTATTCTAATGATACATGCAAATGTAGATGAATTTAATATGGTGAAATTATATTATAAAATCAACCAAGTTTTAGTCCGTTGTGTATTTATAATGTATTTTATAATTAAGCATATTAAGTAAATTTCTTGGTAATTCTGTTATATTTAGATTAAATTATAAGCATTTTAAAGATTAAAAAATATTTAAAATAATAAATTTAAATATACACAGTAATATATCCTATCTATAATAATTTGGGTTTCATTTAATTTTTTTTTATTATATTTTTAAATTTACAAGTGTTTTATATACATTATAGTATCAATTTGATTTTCCTGTAATCGTTATTAAAGAGTGATTACTATAAACCTTTTTTTATAATTTTATTATTATACATTTTAAGCAATTTTAAATATGTATTATATCTATTAATATTAATAAATAGAATTAATATAAATATTAATAAAAATTCACTCTTTATGAATAGATTAAATTTTAAATATTTGAATTTTGTGTTAGAATTTCATCTTTTAATTTAAGTATAGTATAATAGAAAAATTAAGTGAAGGGAGCAGACTATAGATAACTGAATATTTTTGAAAAAAAAATTTTTTATTATTGTTAACAAAAATATTAAATATAATGTAAATACTGATGAACGAATAAGTAATATTTACAAAAATTATATATATATTTATTGTATTGCCGAGTGATTACTTAGGATTATGGATAATATACTATTTATGTGATATTAGACTATAAGTTTGATAACTAAATAGCTATATAATTCCATTGGTAACACCTTAATATTGATAAGAAATCTAATAATGCAATAGTATGCTGATCTCATAATTCTGATTAACCAGATTTATTGATTCTAAAAAATATTAGAAAAAGCTACTTCAATGCGATCAAACACAGGAAATATTCTGTGCTGATTAATAACTTATATGACAAGAATTAGTGAAGCAATACGACTTAAAATAATGTCAGTCATTATGAATCAACTGTTTGTATAATGTAAATTCAATTTTTGATTGATTTGTCAATTACACTTTAATGAAAAACATGCATTGCCTAGCTGTCACTTCATCAGTATTCCTGAGATATTCTGAAGGAAATAGCATAAAGGTATAATCTAAAAAAATATATATATAAAGTAGTAAAAAATATTTATTATTTTCATTACAATAAAAAAAGAAAATGAAAACAATTTGACCTTTATGAATATTCATGATTTGTTTAAATATAAGTTTAAATTAATTATTTATCAATTAACATTTGTCTGGTATGAGACTAAAAACTTCCCTTTGATGGTGGGTGGAGGCGTTGCTGGCAAGTGGAAGGGGCAATGCAATTATTTAATACTACTTGTAGAGTTTAATGTCTTTTCTTTTATTAAATATAATAAATATAACAATTAGTTAATGGTCATAGGAGTATGAATGGATAGCGTGAGTGAATTATGTGGTGAAGTTTCTTCAATTGGTGTACGTGATGGTGAGGGTATGTATGCTCTTGGTAGAGTGGGGCACGATCCCTTCTACTTGCAAGACGAGTCGCTGTAGTAATAGATGCGCACTGGAGGGGCGAGTGAGACGATGCTGCCTTAGCCGCCGGTGTAGCGTAAGCGCCGCTGCTGTCTGTATGGTGGGGAGGATGTCCGTGTTGCGTCCCTGCTTACGTGAGCGGGAGGTTCGCTCGTATAAGTATGGTGGTACCGGTAATGTGCGTTACTTAGGTGGGCGTTGGTCCGCCTTTATAATTGTAGTTGTAAGGAACGGTCGTATGCGTTGCTTCCGTGCGTGTTGGGCCGCCTTTATAGATGTGGCTTCATTATTAGTTCTTTGGACTGCTTGATGCTTACGTACGTGAGAAGTTATGGAAACCGATGTCTGTAGTGGTGATGCTTGAAGGTAGAATAGTAAGCCCGTCGTAGAGACTGCGTGGTTAGTACTAGCTCAAGAACAATGCGCGTCAAGCGCTGCTCTTAAATATTCTCGTACGAGTTTGCAACGCCGATAGCGCGCTAGTGTCTGTTACTATGCCGATTATTATCGTGACGTCACTAGGATATATCCTTAGAGCAAAGCGATAAATAAGTGCTACTATTAAAAGGTTTTGTGTACTTTAAGAAAATATAACTTCAATAATATGCTTCAAGTAACTTGCAAACATTTTGCTCATCAATGATCAGCAACAGCATCGTTACCATCATCACAGAGCCTCTCGTGATGTGGAACTAATAATCACAGAATCGGGTCAAGGCAACTGCATCGCTGTGATTGACCATAATTCACACTCTCCTATGACAAGTGAATTCAACTCGGCAATAAACGATATTTAACGAAGTCTACAAATACTGTATATCTTTGCAGCCTTTCCACTTAAGTCCTTACCTAAGCATCTGCTAAGGCAGGCGACAAACTAAATTGGACTATCGAACATTGGCCCTTCGAGCCAGAAAATCGAACGGACATTTTAAATAATTAAAATAAATAAATTGTCGTTTTTCAATACAACTAGCTGAGCGACAATAAATGTCACACAATTGCATTAAATTTAGTTCTGTAGTAAGAATATGGCATTACTAAATTTCTAATCCTAGATATCTCAATTTAAAAAACTATGTAATCTTCGATTGAAATTACATAAACTTCAAAAATATATAATATATATTATATAATAATTTATATTTTAAATTGCTGAAAATTATTCCATGAAAATTGTAAACTTCATTGATCAAATAATCAAGCATAGCATCGATTTAATACAAAGGAAGAAAAATTATTTTAGTATTAAAAGTATTTACTTGTTTAATTGGATTTTATCATATATTAATCAAGAGAATATGCTTCAAAATTCATCAAACTGAAACAAGTGATATATATAAGATTTTGAGATAACAGATTGTAACCTATTTTTAACAAAATTTTTATGTTTTAAGATTATTTGTGAAATAAAATATTTGTATTTCATAAAATTTTACTAATTAATACACTACTTACCAGTCGATTCTTTTATGCTACCAATGAAGGTATTTTGAGCAACATTTTCTTTAACACTGATAACATATCTTGGTTTATTACAACTGACAAATTTTTTACCGACTGAAATTATAGTTATTTGTACTGATGCATTTATATCGGATTTTCGTCCAGCAGCATCAGTGGCCGTGATATTCAAGATATACATGGTTGATGTGATTAATTGATCAGGACGTGTTACATAAATTTCGCCAGAATTTCTATTAATACGAAATATACCAGCTTCATTGCCAAATGAAATCCCATAAATGACTTGACCGAAGATTCCAATATCTGCATCAGAGGCACTACAACGTACAAATGGTTCATTTATTAGATCGTCAATCCTTAATGTTACATTGTAGTCGCGTGGTTGGAAGACAGGACCGTTATCATTGATGTCCATGACCGATATTCGAACGATTGATGTTGAGCTGAATCCTCCTGTACATATTTATTCCCTCATATATTTTTGTAATTAATTTTTATTAAAAATAAAAAAAATCTTTTTGATAACATAAACTTCAAACTATTAATTAAAAAAAAAAAATTTAAATCAACAACTTATATTATTATAATTTTTAAAAGTTTATTTCTATTTCGATCTTAAATATACGATTAGATATAAAAACAAAATATTACAAACCTCTATCTGTAGCAATAACTAAAAATTCGTAATAATCAATAATTTCTCTGTCTAAAACAGCTTTAATACAAATATGCCCTGTTTCACTATGAACATGAAAGTATTCGGTACTATTTATACTGTGTTCAGTCATCAAGATCAAATCGCCGTTCTACAAGTCAGCTTGTTACAAGATGCTCCTAGCATCTTGGCTTGGAATCTGTGAGATCTTGCAGTTGGATGGTAGTTGTCACGTGGCGTTGACATGCACTACATACAGGAGGTATTCGTAGGAGGTTGTAAATCTTCTAGTCTGACCTAATTGCGCTTGATGGTAAATGGTTATACTGAAAGTAAGAGGTTGTAAATCTCGAATACTTCGTCGGGTAATGCTTGTGATGACTTCCGCACTTTCGCCTTCGATTGCCCTTGTGGTAGCTGGAGACTTAAACACATCGGCCGTTAGCGGGAGCTTTGCGAACATACAATGCCTATCACGGCTGGCGCGCTTGCGCCTTCAATATGTAGTTTCTCCTTCTATTAAATTCACAGAAATTCGTTGTCTTACCTAATTCTGTGATAAGTGTGTAGGTGGTGTGCTTCTTATTTAATTTCACTCTTGTGACGCAATCAGCACTCTTGACTGCTTAACTATGGTGCACTTAAATAGTTATAAATTATTATGACCTCACTGTTGGCTTACTATCTTATTATTACATAATCTGGCTGAATTATGTGCGTGTATTTAGTAAAACTGATTGCTTGGCGTAAAGCGGAGTTTTAGTGGCTGTATGAGTAATAACTGATAACTGAATGATTGAGAAAATTACAGTGAACACAGGAGCGTGGCGGGGTGCTCTTACATCTTCGTGTGACAGCTTACAACGCTGGCAACAATGCATCGGCTTATTGCTAGGCCGAACGTTTGGTGACGTCTGAGAATATGCTCTAGAAATTCAAGAAGTCCAGAAGGACACAACATTGAAAAGTTCAAGAATTTTCAATCAACGTTGATATGCGGAAATATGTAGGATACTAAAAAATAAGGCGTAGAATATTCGAGAATTCGTAAAATCAATGTTTACAAATATAAGCGTCAGAGGGCTTGTACTTTTCCCATTTTAACATTCTTGGAAATTGCTTCAATACCGAACAGGTGTACTTATAATTTCTTTAATTAATTTTAAAAAGCTTTGTTATCACTGTTGCCTCTCAAATTTCTCAATATGATATTTCAATATACAAATTAAAAAATTGTCTAAACAATCTAAATGGGAAACTCTTAATTTTTATTGACGTATTTTGAATCTTCTTGTACATTTATTGTAATAGTGTACATCCAATTTTAGCTGTTAATATAATTATTTTTTATAAAAATGTTTTGTTATGTAACAAACAATAATTGTTATATAAATTTACTTTAAATAGATTTATATTATTTTATTTTTGAACGAGCTCAATAATTAAAAAAAAAAATTAGTTCAATAACAGCTAAATTTTGTTATAAAATGCTGCATGAAAGCAGAAAAATAATTGCGAATACAAGAATGAATTTGGTGCAAATTTACACCTAATTAAGTAACAATTAATTGCTATTCATTTTTACTGTTCTGATAATTAAGCTTTTATTGCCATTTAATATTATTTAATTGTTAATTTAAACATTTCCATAATACTATGATAGCTTTAAAAATATTTCAAAAATAAATTGCGTTACTTTTTAATATTCTAAATCAGTGATAGAAATAAAGTATATCCAAATAATTCCACCATCAAATTTAAAATTATCACAATGAATTCTTAAGTTTTATTGTTTTAGTTCTTTAATTTAATATCGCTTCTAGTTATAATAATATTTAAAGTTAATGTATTTAATGTATTCCAATATAAAACAATGAATTAAAAAACTTAAATAATATTTAAAAAATATTTCAATTCAAAATCTTAATATTTATTTTATATTTTTATTATTTAAATTTAGGAATTAAATTCAAGAATTTATTCTTGAACTTAATTTAAATAAAATAAGCATTTGTATAAAAACAATAACTGCCGTATTCTATATAAATTTATATATAGAAACAAACCATTTCCTATTTAAATTTATTGATTATGTTTTATTGTTTCGTGTTATTTATATTTCAAACATAATAATGAATGTAAGTTCGGTTAAAAGTTATATTCACAATGCTCACTATCCAAATATAGGACAGGAAGAAAATGTGGATTTTGCACGTATTAAAAGCATACAAATTATTGCGATATTATTTAAAAAAATTAATATAATTTTTCATTTATGAGTAATAGCTAACTTATAATAATTTATTGTTTTAAGTTTTATATTGAAATCGATATTTTTAAAATGTATTTTTTATATTCCTAATCTAAATGTATTTACTAATTTCATAGTTTTATTTATATATTCTTTGTTTAGATATTAAAATTCTTTAGCTTATATTTGTAATTCAATTGATATTAAAAGTACTCCTTTATTGGGGAATTATTGTAATAAATCCAATGCAAATACAAAAACATTGTTCAGAATAATAATGTGACACCGATACTTTTTATTAAATAAAACATAGAATTTTTAAGATTGGCACTTAATAATTTTATGGGAACTTATTATTATATCTATAATTTAGATACTGACTTAACTAAATTAATATAAAATTATACTATCGCAACTACGTATGAGATATAGTAACTATATTCCTTGAAAATAAACCGTATGTTTGTAAACATTTATTTAATTTATGTGTGTAATTTAATATATGTTTTGCATTTATTTCTCTCAGATAAACAATTGATTAATTATAAATTACTCATTCTTACGCTTTACAAAAAATTGTAATAGTGCAAAATATTTTATTGAGCCTGTAAAAAATTCATATTTCTATTAATTACTAATCCTTTAATAAAACAAGAATTTAAAATTAATTTTAAAATGCATTCAATTATTGCTTGCTATTGTATATTATTGTTATTATTTATTAAATTATTTTTAGGTTCAAGTAATTTCATTTTGAGAAACTGCTCGTAAAATTATAAAAACGTGCTAATTTATTCCAAGTAATGAATAATTAATTTTAATTCATGGTTGATATATAATTCAGATGTTTATATCGCTGAAAGTATTACAATACAGTGCAATATGTATGTTTGGTATTTAGCAGCATGTAAAAATATATCTAAAATTTCATGTAATTTCAATAAAATTTTTTTAAAAATATTATTTATTATTTATTAATTTTATGTTGCATAATCATTTGAACACTGAAAAATGTCCTTTACAAAGTTAGTTATAATCATATACAATTTTATTTTTAATTCTTTTACAAGCTATCTTTATTTTTCAAATCTGTAAAAGTTGAATGACCATGTAACTGAATTATATCTGAATGTTATGATTAACAAATTTTCGCTTTACCTTTATTTTTATTTTCGATGACTCATATTTTATTATAAACATCAATTAATTGAAAATAAATTAATATTGGGATAATCATCGAAAGTCTTAAGATAAAATTTCTCAATTTTTATTTTAAAATATATATATAAATGAAAATTTTTGTAGTTTTTTGTTGTTATAAAAATTTAAGATAATTTCTTTTTATATGTTAGATTTTCATAATACCTGTGTGTTATATATTCCTATTAGAAGTTATGTAAATGTCATTCTGTAGATGTCGCATAGTTGAGAATGCATGTTCTCATGTTTTTGTTGAACAATGGCGATAGTTTGATTGGATCGAACTTCAAGTTGAATGTGTTGCAAATCTCATTACGCGCTGCAAGTGCACTTATTTTGAAAAAATTTAGGGTGTATCAGATATGAAAATATAAGAGTTGGCACGGTTGAGTGAGTAAAATAAAGTGAGTGTCGCATGTCGTTAATGGTTCGGTGAATATGAGGCGTCGGTATTTATGACGGTATAGACTTAAAACACTAGATAAAATTTCTAAAAGTAAAATTTTGTACCGGCGGTTTTGTTTCATAGAGCTTCGCGCCCGCGAAAACAGAAAAAAAAACGAACTTTAAAAAAAGTAGGTTAGCTCTTGCGCGTGTAATAATTAGTAGCAAGAAGTTGAATAAGGAGGGTGGAGGGAGAATGGGCGAAAAGATGTAGATAAATAATATTGCCCTATCGCCATTTCTCTGAATATCCTCTCCTTACAGCAGCTTAGGAATATTTTGTGAAGTTTTGTAATATTGTGCTATTAAGGTGTGAATTGTTAATAGAAAACTATATGTGGACGCCCAACACTATCTTCGCATCGGTGAGTACTGCGTATCTCGGCGAAGATGCTCGCGTTTGCATTCAAATAAAGAGAAAGTATGCGTTTCTGGAAAGTCCGATATCACAAAGAAAGTCGTGCGCCGCGCGGGCGTGGCTTTTTTTATTTCGGACTTATTCTTTCTCTGCATATTTTAAAAGATCAATGAAATAATGACGCGCATAAAAATGAAATTGCGGGGCATGGAATGGCGGGGGCAATGGCAATGTCGATGTTGTATTCGTTCGTGGTGGGTGCGTCACGGTGTCGCGAAGATGCACCTCGTGTCGAGATCGATGAATTTTGGACATCGGAGCCAAGGTCGGTCAGTGGGAGAAACCTGGCTAATCTATACAGGGAGCCCGCGATTTCGCGATCTCATATTTTTTTACCCTGCAGCCGACTCACTAGGATCGGCGGTGCTACTGCATCCTCTTGCCGATCTATGAAAATAAAACCGACAAATTAATGTTTTGGGTTTTACGTCATATTATGACAACTAACACACCTGTTCACTGGTCCCGCAGGAGTACGGCTTACATCATCTGTCATTTGGCGAACTTCATAGTGCAATTCCTTATACACCAGGTAATTGAATTAATTTATCTATTATAAAAATAAAAGTTTTTTCTAAGTAATTGTATAATTTAATCATTTATCTAAATAAATCCATTTCGTACAAATTAGTAATATAATATATTATATAAGATAATATATTTGATAAAATATTTGGTTAATTAGGTATTAGTTTATCAACTTTAATAATTTAAAAAATTATATTATTTAGTTTAAATATTTATTAGATTATTATGTGAATTAAAACATATTTAAAAAATTAAAACAACTTTTTATATTTTTGTAGGATGTCTCGAGATTATGATAGAAGAAGAGGAGGGAGTACCAGTAGTTCTACCAAGTTGCGGATGGACTCAAATACATCACAGTCAAGATCACATGGAGAAAATTCAGGAAAACGTAAGGAGTTGGATAATGTTATGCGTAAGGCTCGAGAATTTCAATCAAATTATTGGAATAAAAAACTGCTAGAAGTAGAAGAGAGGGACCCCAATAGATGGCGACATAGTGGCTACAAAGAAATGTACATAGGTAGTGTATCAAGTGGAGATTCTAGAAATCATCCACGTAGTCCAAGACATCGTAGTCCACGACTACGTAGTCCCAGACCACGTAGTCCTCGAAGTCCTAGGAGTCCTTGTACACGCAGCCCACATACACCAAGAGCTCGAACTCCTAGAAATAAGAATTCACGAAGTCCACGGCGTAGAAGTCCTAGAATTAGAAATTCATACACTCCTCGACCTAAAAGCCCAATAGTCAGATCACATTCACCTAGGCTTCGAAGTCCTAGAGTAAAAAAATCACATAGTCCTAGACCTCGTAGTCCCAGAACCCCACGAGAAAAGTGTCACAATACTCAACTAAGAGTATTGAAAAGTCCAAGCTCTGGCAGTACGTGTTCAGATAGATCTTGTTCTGTATGCTCCCTAAAAAATCATAGACGAATAGTCAATACATCTCGTTCTCAATCTAGATCAATTACACCAATACAATCACGTATGATTGCAAAAGAAATTGCTTCTTCAAGCTCAAGAATTATTCCACTTAGATCAGGTAAACCACATTCTCCACCAATGGCTCAGCCACGAACTCCTCCTCCAATGCCACAGCCACCATCACGACATCCAAAGGATTATAACAAATTAACAAAAGATTTAAAATCGAGAAAAAAAGAAAGACATCGAACCAAATTACCTGAAGATCCACGTATTCCAGAATCTGTTCATATGGTATTTAAAGTTTATGTTTACTCAAATTATACATCTTATTTTATTTACATTATTTAAAATCGTTATCTATTTCTAATTTTTAATAGGTATATATCAAATGTAATTTGATTAGAAACTATTTAATTTAAAAAATATTTACACCAATTTTTATAATTCACTTAGGAAGTAACTACTAAATTAATTTTTTGTTATAATAATTTTTTACATATTTTATAAATATTTTATAAATATAAATAAGTACATGTTCAAACTATTTTTATTTTTTATAGTCCAATGTAAAATAACAATGTTTTTTACTATATATAATATTTCTAATTAAGTTAATATAATTAATAATTACTAGGAAACTGTTAAGGAATACAACAAAATTACAATTAAAAGTTTTAAAAAATGTAATACTAAATTTAAATATATCATTAAACTTTAAAAAATATATATACACACATATGTTTGTAAGGCTGCATGTTTTAAAATAGTGTCCATTTGTTTTTTACTGTAATATATTAGATAATACATTAAATAGATTAAACTGAAACTAATACATAGATGCACAAGCATGTAAAAGTGGAGAAGACACACACAGGTCATCCAGATGTATCAATGATTCATCCATCTGCAGAATCTTCACAAAGTGATGATAGTGACAGTTCTTCTACAACTTCACACGTGCCTCCTCCAAAAATGACATTGTCTGAAAGGTGTTTCTTAATATTTTTTTAATTATATTGATTATGTGATATAATGCAAATAAAAAAGTTTTAAATTAACTTTTTAAATGATAGACTATTTTATAAAATTAATTAAGAAAATCAAAGTATATCTAATTAATATGATCATATATATCAGTATTATTATCTTATTTTTCAAATAAATATGTAACAAGTTGTTTTATTTAAATCTCAGATTTGGCAAAATGGCTCAGTGGAGTGTTGATCGAAGAGATATGGAAAATATGCGTATTACAAAAGTTGGAAATAATACAATGAAAGTAGTAATTGAAGGAGAAGAAAGAATTACTCGTTTAGGTTATGATTCACCTCCTCCAGGTCATTATCCAGAATCTCTATTGACTCAAGGTCCAAGAGGATTAGAATGTTGGGATGATGTTCGTGTTAGATATGATTATTATAAATCTAGGGGTTATCTTCGAGATCTTTCTCTTGATGATTATGTTAAATGGGAAGAGTGGTGGTATAAATATCAAGAATGGCTAGAAGCAGAACGTTATTACGAACAATGGGCTGCACAAGCATCAAATCGTCCATCAGGTGGAGGTCGCAAGAGACGTCGACGAAATAATACTACACATTAAGTCTGTACAGCGTTATTACTAGGTTTTACAAATATTTTCATTGTTATATAAACGCTTTCATTCTAAAATATTTTCTCATTAAAATTACAAGTTTCAAAATATTTTATTGCAAATATATACTTAAATATACATCATATAACATTAAAATCAAGGATATATAATTACAAACTTAATTTCAGTCTCCATATTATGTCATAAAATGTATTAATAATGAAAAGGATTCGATTTATAATATACATAATTAGATATTTATAAAAATTAAAATCTTTTCTTTAATGTTATATTATATTAGCACCAATTTAAAAATGTTACATTTAATTTTAAGGAATGTCATGATTTTTTATAATTTTTAAACTTAAATTTAATTTAATTTAAATATCACAATAATGATAATTATCCCATTTTATTATACTTAATTTTCTAAGAAGCATTTATTTTAGGAAATATGTGAAAAGAACCATTTTTTAATTTTGTACTATTATAAGCTGTTCTGAATATGAAAAGTAAATGTGTGAAAAAATAAAATTTCAGTGTACATTTATATGCAGATGTAAATGTTTATTTATTTACTGTGACCATTTCACATTTCCAATAAAAATTTTGTTATGAAATACATATGTATTAAAAATATTAGCAGTTAAATATAAAATATACAAATTTTAAACAAATTTATTAGATAGTTATTATAAATTATGAAATTACAAGATACCTTTAAGTTATTTTGAAATCAAAAATTTCATTTTTTTAATTATTTGAATTTAATTACTTTTCATACTTTTACTTTGAGCTTGTTCAAAAGATTGTTGAAATTTCACTAAATTTTCTTTATGAGTTTCTTGTTTTTTATCTAATGATGTTATTAAATCTTCGGTACGTTTTCTATCAACAGAAGAAAAAATACAAATGTAATAATTAAAAAGTCATATGTATGATTTTAATTAAGATTTACATTTCACTCAATATAAATTCCACACGCTTATTAACATTTTCTTTTGCTTCAATTAATTCTTGCTTTATTAATATTGGCCCAATTAATTTATATATTTCGTTTCCAGGGTTTAGAAGATCTAATTCTTCTTTAACTACATTATTTTCATTTAACTGGCTACCTAATATCTGTCTTCGTGCTACAGCTTTGTGGTAATCTAAAATTTATTATAAACAATTATAAATTAATTTTTCTATGTACCCTAATACAAATATATTTATATACTTTCATTTATAATAAATTATTACCTTTTTGAACTTGCTTAAACTTATCAAGTTCAGTTTCAAGTTTTTTTCTAACCTCTTCAATCATTTTTCTACAAATATTTATAAATAGTTTAAAATTTGTTGAATCTAAATACATATATCAATTTGAATACAGTGCATTTATGAATGTATGCAATTTTATCATTGTATCTTAATATAATCAATTTATATTCTATATTGATTTCCGATCATAAAACGTATTTTAAATTATAAAAAATATAACTTGATACGTATAAAACCACAGAAATAAAAAATGTTTGGAAATACACAGAAAAACGAATAAAATTGTTAGTGTTCCAATACTTAATTTTGATAAATTTTCTAACTAAAAAAATTACATTTAATTTTATGTATAATCTGCTAAATTCTATATTTATAAGATAAATAAAAACAAGAATTTCAGGCATGTGCAATAAAAGCAAATGATTATTGGCTTTCATATCATATGCAAAATGATATTTTGAAATTTATGTTGATATGGATTATATTTTAAGTTTAATGAAACAAAAATATAATTACTTACTAAAAACGTATGTATGCAGGTAAAAAAAATTATATTCTGAACAATGAAAAATGAAATATCAGTATTTATAATAATTGGTTGTTTATCGTAGATTTATGCTATCGCTTAATTTTCGTTTTGATCTCTTTTTTATAATTTTCTTTTATCAAAAAATTTAAAGTAATTTTGCATATAACAACCAATCACCATAAAGCTATAAATCCAAGTATTTGAGTTGATTACGTCAGAAGATGCGTACACGCGCATTCGGAAATATATATAATTTTCATTACAATTGAAATTTAATCCTTTTATTTGTTGTATAAATATTAAATTTAAGTTTATTCTTTTATTTTTATTATAAAAAATTTAATACATTAAGCAAATTTATATGATTATTTTATATTCATTACTTATTTTTTATTTGTCCAACATGAATTTTTTTTAATCTCGCAATATGGCAATTCACTAAGTTCCGGTTTACTCAATTGGAAAATACATCATCTATATTGTAACAAATTTATCTCAGTTATATTGAGGAATCGATAGGTAATTCTCTTTTACATTAGTTTAATAGTCAATGATTTTTAAAAATAATTTATATTTTATTACCTTTAACGTATAATTATTAAATTCAAACAAATGATATTCTATATACTTGCTTAAATATTATCGTCCCATCGTGCATGCCACTGGATGTATTGGTTTTCGGATTTATAATTACAGTATTCCAAATTTCAACATTATTTTACAATAAACAACCTAATTGTTACCATTCATTTTAATTTTAATATTACGATGGATTATTTCAGATAATTGACAATGCAAATCTTCGTTAAAACTTTAACAGGGAAGACTATTACCCTAGAAGTAGAAGCATCAGATACGATTGAAAATGTGAAAGCTAAGATACAAGATAAAGAAGGCATCCCTCCAGATCAACAAAGATTAATTTTTGCTGGAAAACAACTTGAAGACGGTCGTACTTTATCTGACTATAATATTCAAAAAGGTAACTTTGAAAAATTATTAGCACTATGTAATAACTAATGAAATTAATTTTATTATGTAGAATCTACTTTACATCTTGTATTGCGTCTTAGAGGAGGTGTTATTGAGCCAACTCTTAGAATTCTTGCTCAAAAATACAATTGCGACAAAATGATTTGTAGAAAATGTTATGCTCGTCTTCATCCTCGTGCTACCAATTGTCGTAAAAAGAAATGTGGACATACAAACAATATCCGCCCAAAGAAGAAATTAAAATAAATAATTTATTCTAAAAAATTAATTAATTGAATTCATTCTATATTTTAACAAACATAATAAATATTAAAAATGTTGTATGGAATAAATTAAATACAATTTTATTGAGTAATATATAAATTTGTTTTTGTTAACATAATGATACAATTATATTTTTAAATTTAAATTATGGTAAATCTGGATGTAAAACTCCAAGATGAAGTTGTTGTTGATGTGAATACTGTTCATATAAATTCAGATCATTAGAATTTGGTATTGATCCACCATACTAAAAATATTAAAATAATTTAATATAGAATATTTAATGACATGTTTAATTTACCTTTGATTTCTTTAAATAATCTTCATAAATATTAATAGTATTTGTTGTAATAGTAAATTGTTCAACATTTTTATATTCAATACAAGGCAAAAATTTATATTGAAATTTTGAATCCAATTTATAAGTAGCATTTTTGCCTATCAACACAAACCTATTATAATGTTAATAATTATTATCTTAAAAACCAATTTTAATTTAAAATTAATATAATTTGCCTTTTGTATGTAAGAGTGTCAGTTCTTTTTGGATAATCAGGTTGGGCACCATAAACTTTTCTCATAGATGGAAAAAGTGTTTTGAACGATATTTCTGTGTTGTATTTTGAAACTAATATTTTCGAATTATTTATACACTGAGACTCATTATCATCCGAACTAGAACTAAGACTTGAACTAAAATTGAATTTTGATTAATAATTTAGTATAATGTGTAGTTCATCAACTATATATAAATTTATAAAAATACCTAGTACTAGATGCTGTGCTACTTGTACCACTATGTCCTGTTAATGAAGGATTTTTTATATTTACATTTTTATTAGTAGATTCCTCTCTTCTTCTGCCTGGTCTAACTCTAACAACAAAAGGACTGAAATTTGTTGTGAAATGAGGCATGAAGTCTCTTACAGAATGACTAACTTGATATGAATAAACTTCAGTTAGTAGTGACAATTCAAAAGGCCTAAAAAATTATTAGAATAATATAAATAAATTCGTATTATTAATATAAATTTATAAAATACCTATAATAATCATAATAAATATCAATTATCTCTTCTTGATTGCATTGTACTTGTATTATTTCCGTACACGTTTTCGTTACTTCAAAAAAAGAATATGGTAGACATTTTAACACATTTTTATCCCACCATTGTGTTAAAATTTTTGATTTTTTAACATATCTACAAGCTGGTTTGTGATGTATATAATAATCCGTTAATAGTTCCCAAATTGGAGGCTTACCTTCTTCTGGGATAAATAATCCTATAATGCACAAATAAATTATTAGATATATTAAATATTACATTATCGTTATTCATTTTAATAGTACTATATCAAATTTATGTATACAAAATATAATTCTGTGTAAAATTTGATGAAGTATAAAATGTAACATAATTGATACAATATAATACAATTTAAATAACAAAGTTAAATTTGTGAATAATTTTACTCCCGAAATTATATTTAATATTTTCTTTAGTTAACCTAAAAATAAATTAATAGTCTGTTGTTTTTCTTGATCACTAAATGTGTTACTATAATATCTGCTTAATGTTTGCATTATATCATTTCCTTGACTGGTCCATGGGGCAGTTTTTCTAGCAATAACAATTATCTAAATCAAATTACAGAAAATTTAGTCTATGAATTGTTTTTAAAAAGTTGCTTCTACCTATAAGTCTTAATTCTGTGAACTAATTGTGAACCTCCATACTGAAGAGCTAAAGTATCACCATGATCTTCATAAAGTTCCTCTAGCATGCGAACACAGTCTGTATCAAATTCAAGTTTTGGTGAATTTAAAATTCCTAAAGCATATAGTTGATAACCCAAAGCGCATTTTCCAATCGAAAATTGAGCAGTATTTGTACGATCCAAACAATCAACACAATTAGTTCTTATAATTCCCGTTTGTAAAGATCCTTTCTTTATAAAATATTGCTTAACTTCATCATTTATTAAACAATAATTAAATGAATCATTAAAAGTCATTGATAAGTTTGTACTCTCAAATATATCACTAAAATCATTTAATAAAAATAAACTTGAATCAACTTTTAATTTGTGTAATTTTTTTGTATTAAATATATGATTTTTATTATAAGATAAATATAGAGACTGAAATATTCCAGTTTTCAGTACAGCATTATTTGCAATAGTAGCTAGTTGTTCCATAACATTAGTTTTTCTTCTAAAAATTAATGAAAATTAATTCATATTGTACAATATTTTAAGAGTGTTATATCATTATATTATTTATTTAAATGATTATTTATATAAAAAATTTTATAAATATAATTTCTTGCCCTTTATTTTTTCGTGCCATATCAAAACTGATATATTGAATATTATGTTCAGATGGTAGAAATTGATTTAAATATTTTACAGCTATATTCATTTCTTCGCTCAGAGTACTTTCATGCTTTTTTTTTTCTCTTTTTTTAACAAGATTTAATATAATGATTGGGGAACCATATCGTTTAAAAAGTTCATTGAAATGAGCTCCTAAAATTAAGTAAAGTACATAAAAAATAAATATATAAATCTGTTGTTTTAATTTCACATTAAACATTATGTAAATACCTGCAGTTTCTACAAATGGATCACATAAATCAATTGTAATAGTTGGTTTTGGAACCATTTTACTAATATCTTGACTCCAATGACCAGGTACTGAACCTCTCATTTGAACAAAAGAACTAAAATGTCCATTTTTTAATGAACTGACATTTGAATCATGTACTATTTGTTCAGTTTCGACTTCATTGGCAACATCTCCCTATAAAAATACAATTTATATTATTAATTGCCTGATCAGTAATAAAATAGCTTATTAAAGATTTCTTAACATACTTCAAAATTAGCACCTCGTTTAAGAAATCTTGTGCCAGCATATTTACTGCTACGTCTCGCTATAATTGTAATATATATTGATCTTCCAAATACACTAACATTTGATTGACCTACAAAACCATGAATTATATGTAATATCCAATCTCGATGTAAATTTTTTTCAATCGAAGATAATAAATGAGAATTCCAAATATAACGTCTATGAGGGTTAGTACGTATTCCATAATTTACAATTTTTTCACCATATCTACAAATAAAATTTAAATTTTTCTTTAAGATTGTCACACCTATTCTAAATAATAAATTAAATATTTAAAACCTATTTTTCTGAAAATTATAAAATTTCCACATTTTAAAACAATCTGAATTATGATTTTGATAATTTAATTCATTATTGATATTGGCTGCAGATATTTCAGTATGAACATGTTTTGGTAAAGCCATATTACTTTGTAATGTATGGGTTAAGTCATAGGAATAACTAAAGTAAAAATTACTACTTAAATCAATACTTTGAAACATCTTAACATATCTTTGTTCATCTGGATGAAAAAATCTTACTGAATCATTTGGAATATAAATCATTGAAGTATCTTCTATTTTATATATTGTATGATTTCCAATTATTGCAATTCTTCTTCTCTTTGTTACAAGAATAATATAATAGCCTTCTAAAAAGCATATAAAACCTGAAAAATTGACAAAATATTTAAATTTTTTGTACTATTAATTGAACTTTTATTAATAAGTAGCTAAGAAAATTATAATTAATATATTAAAATTAATATTCAGGCTCAATTAGAAAAATTAAACAATTTATAGGTTTAATATTATATTACCAATTATACCAAAAGCAGAAACAACTTTAGTTACTCCACTAGCATTACCACGTTGATTGGCTTTATTTCGATTTCCCATATCTATCATTTTTACAAGATCTCTAATTTCATCCTGTGTGTATTCAATTTTATCATCCATAAGAATTAATTCACGTGGTTCCATTCGATCAATTTTTAATACTCGAAATCGGGTCAAAGTATTATTAGATCCCATGAGATAAAAATGCTAATAAATATAAGACATATAGACTATATAATACAATTAATATATATAAAAATACTAAATAAATTACAAGCATTAATAACAAAGAATGCTCACGGATTTTGTTTCGTACAAAGCTATTTTTTGTATCGACGAAATAATAGGATGAAATATTATATTTTTTCTCTGGTCGGGCATTATATTAAATATTTTATTATTTATAATTAAGTAAAAAAATTAATTCATAAAGATAATTATAATTTACAACTAAATGTAGCAACATATATTAACTAATGTAAAAAATTATATACTCATCTATTTTCGATAATATCATAAAAAAAATTAAACATTAAACAATCAAAACATATTTGTCAATAGTGTTACAAATTTGCTTGCAAATCATATAAAATGCCGACTACTAATATATATTGTAATGTACTTAAAAGGAAATTTAAAAAATTAACGTATATAGTGTTTGTATTTTAAGCATGCGCAGTTGAGGTCTAAGTTTCTTGACTCCGAAAATTAAATATATATTAAAATATGAAACTTAAAATATTAAATAAATTATTCGAAATCTTTGAAAGTCTATGCACAAACAATTATATATATATATAATAATTATTTGTTTCACCCGACATTACGTAACGTCATAAGAAATTAAGGAAAAAGAATATCAAATATAATTGTACTTACAAAATTGTATTAGCTATATTGCTATAAATATGTAATAATTTAAACCCGTCAATCTTGAGCTAATAGAAATCATCTATCTAGTAAAAGTAATTAACCATTAAAAAAAAATTTTAATTTGCTATAAAAATGCAAATTAAATACTTAATCTAAAATTACATTCTATTATTAAAATATAAAAAATCATATTCAATTTAAAATCAAACTTAATATATGTACTTCTATTTTAAATCAGAATTTTAGAAAATATCTAACTATCAAAAATAATTGAACATATATATTTCTAGGAAGAGCACTATAAGTAGGATGCATCCTTTATTTTCACGTAAATTAAATTCAAAGATATTCATAATAAATTATTAATTTCATAGAGTATTTGAAGAAACAAATATAATAGTAGAATACTCTTTCTTTGAGCTTTATAATTTATTTTTATTGAACTTAATATAATATATGACAGTGATTTTATATGAAAATGCATGAAAGTATTTCATAAAATTATATAAATAGTTCATATGTAAATCTTCTCATTGTTTGAAAATAAAGGGTACATGTTGACTACACGTGAAGAAATCTATATATTTAAATTTATTACTTAATATTGTAGGCTTAATAAGTATGAAGTTAATTGTTTAACATAAAGAATTTTTATTTTGCAGAAAAAAATATATAGAATAGGCTCAATAAAATAAATAAAAAATTTACTTATAATTTGATTATGATTAAATATTTATATATTTGTTTTATGTATTAAATTTATATTGAAGGATTTGTCTTATTCTTTGTTACCGGGTAGTGATTGAATTATATTTGAATTTATTTTATCTTAATGTTATTGCTTAGTGGCTTAAATAGCAATACTTCACATTTTATTTTCGGTTTTGAAGGTATAATTTCAAACACACCGCCAAATAATGTCTAAGTATAGTATATTGTTCTTGCTGTTACCTCTGCTAATGTTTGAATTCCAAGAACGATTTCAAGTCACAATAAAGCAACTATCAATAATTATAATGACCTATGTATGTACTTCTAACACAATCATCTGTTTAATCTTCTATATTATTAGTGTCGAATTTGCTAACACTTATGTTATTTATTGATAAAATAAATATATTATTTAGATAATTTAAATATAAATATTTTTCATAAAAGTTATATTTACTTTTAAAAACTATGATAGAGCAAATTACATTGAGTAGTCATTAAATTGAGCAAATTAACATGTGTTTATATATTTTTTATATAATTATTGAATATACTTATTAAAGGTAGCAGAAATATTATCAAACTTAAATATAAGTTTGCACGTGTCTTATAAGATTGAATTTGCATTAGGATTATAAATTTTAATTAAATTTTTAATTATGGGAAAAGGTCGAAGACATAAATATAAAAAAAATTTTGCGGAAAAACGCAGAGAAAGACACGAAGTAAGTATTTATTATATAAAAAATTTTAATTTCTTTTCAAATTTGTAATTATGTCTATATAATGTACTCATTTTCTGTCCAAATTAAATGTACAATTTTTTTATTTTAATTTTCTACACTAATTTATTACAATTTTTATTGTTTCCATTTATTTAAAGAACTCATTGTTAATAATATAATTTTAGATTTTAAATAATAAATGGATAATAATATTTATATTTTTTAACTTATATTTAGAAAGGGGATGAATGGAATAAAATGCCTACATGCTCTTATGCAGAAATTATTAGAGAAAATAAAGATTTTGAATCATATTACAAAACTCAGAAAATAGTTCCAGATAATGAATGGAATTCATTTATTGATAAAATGAAAGAAAATCTTCCTGTTGCTTTTCGAATCACTGGATCAAAAGCAGAAACTAAAAGCCTATTAAAAATGATTAAAGGAGATTTGTTTAAAGAAATTATAAATACTAATCTTGAAGACAACGAAGATAATGTTAATAAAGAGTTAAAACCTTGTTGTCTGCCATTTTATCCTGATGGTTTAGGATGGCAATTACAACTTACTAGAAAAGATATAAGAAGATCAGAAGCTTTTCTAAAATTACATAATTTTCTTATAGCTGAAACAAATAGTGGGAATATAAGTAGACAAGAAGTTGTTAGTATGGTTCCACCATTAGTACTTGATGTGAAACCTTGGCATAAGGTATAACTAATTTTATAAATCAAATGGTATACATAAAATAAAAATATATATAAAAATATAAAATAATTTACTTTTAAAGTAATGATTGTAATATTTTTTAATTTTATCAAATTGTTTTAAATAAAAGTATTATTATTCAGTAATTAGTTTAATAAATTAAGAGTTCTTGTTATGACTTCACTTTTGGTATTTTTCAAAAATATATGTTTCTAAGTATATAAATGTTCAAAATCTGATTTGAGATGATTGACAAAGTCATATATTAAAATACTTCCAATTTTTTTTTAGATCAAATGTAACTTAAGAAACTTTTTATCCTATCAAACTGAAGTTTTAAAAATAATCCTCATATAACAGAATCATTTCAGAATACAGAATAAATCTAATTTTTTTTTATTTATTGAAAAGAAAATTTTGTAAATAAATTTTTCTTTTGATTTTCCATATCTTATCTAATTTTTTTAAATAAAATTGATAAATATTCGTTTATGTGATAATGATGAATAATATAGTACAAGATAACATATGTAATTGATTAATCAAATGGTGTATATACGTAAGAAAAATATTTAAAAAAATCATTTTTATTCTCTTCGATATTTTATGTATATATATATATATACATAAGTATCTAATGTTGTAAAGAAATATTATTTTAAAAAATTAAATGTATATTTAATTAAAATTTTTTAAATTTTCAATGATATATTTTTTGGTATTAATATCCTAAATCTGAAACAAAATTTTTGAATTTCCAAACCTGTATTAATTAGTTAATAAATATTGATTTAATTTATGCAATAAACATAAGTTAAATTGTACACAGATGAAATTAACACAATTCTATATAATATTTGGTATTATAATTAATTTTGCATTCTATTTTAATTTGGAAAGGAATTATTTTTTGTTGTATATAATTATAAATGATTCATGGAACTGGTATTATTTAAGCATCACTTATTGTACATAAACTTTGTATTAAATAAATTCTAATTAAAACATTTATTTTAATTGCTTCCCTTATTAGTATTACTTAAATCTATTTATTTTGAAAATATATAATTGAATGCTTCAATTATTAAACATTTTAAATTAAAATAAATTTGGTGAAATATTTTAAATTTGTGAAAAATTATTTGTATATATTTTATTTTTAACAAAAATTAATTTTTTTATAATTAATAACTTTCTTATCAATTATTATATTACTATATCCTAATTAGATTGAATACAGTTTCAACTATTTACACAAATAAATTATTTTAATTTTTACTTTTAATTTAATTTAAATAGGTTTTTGATATGTGTGCTGCACCAGGTTCAAAAACTGCACAATTGATTGAAATGATACATGCTGATGAAAAAATAGCCTGTCCTGGTAATTAAATGAATATAGTATTAATTAATAATAATACTTTATTTTATTATTTTAACATTTTTTAGAAGGTTTTGTTATAGCTAATGATTTAGATAATAATCGTTGCTACATGCTTGTTCACCAAGCGAAGCGATTGAATAGTCCAAATATTTTAATTACTAATCATGATTCTTCAGCCATGCCAAATTTTATTATAAATCAACCTGATGGATGTAAGGACACGTTAAAGTTAGTATTTATAATCTTACTTTATTCTAATATTCAGATTTTATAAAACATCAATGATTCATACACTTAATTTGTAAAATAATTCAGATAGACAATCGAATAAATATGCATTTTTTATTATACAGATTTGATAGAATATTAGCAGATGTTCCCTGTAGCGGAGATGGTACTATGAGAAAAAATCCAGATATTTGGAGTAAATGGAGTCCTGCAAATGGCAATCATCTTCATGGGTAATATATATATATATATATATATATATATATATATATATATATGTATATAATCTAATAAAAACATTTTATCATCTAAATGTTGAGCTTTTAATTTTTTTGATTTTGTTAATAGAATTCAATATAGAATAGCTAAAAGAGGAGTGGAGTTATTAACTGTTGGTGGTAAAATGGTATATTCTACATGTTCTTTGAATCCTATTGAAAATGAAGGAGTTTTACACAGACTACTATCAGAAACAGGCAATTCTGTTTGTTTATTGGATTGCAAGCATTTAGTTCCTGGATTATTGTATAATCCTGGTAAGGTTTATTTTTTATTGTAGTAAAATCAAAATGGTGAAAATGAGCAATTAAGTAAATCTTTAATTACATGTATCAGTATTATAAGTTTGTAGATAATAAAAATCGAAAATAAGCTAATGAAAATTAATGAATTCCGAAATGATATCCTATAAAAACAAATTTTTATCTTATATGTGTACAGTAGGAGAGATGTAGAAATTTGCATAATAGATCATATTTAAATAAATTTGTAATCTAAACTCATACATTTCCATTTTATGGTTCAACATTATTTAAAGAGATGTTTGATTTCTTATTATTGTCTACAAATTTTAAAATAGAAAATTTAGTTAATTATAACGGATAATTATATTTAAAAAATACAAACGGGTCTTCTCGATAACCTTGCAACATTTTTCTTCGTTTTCTTTGTGAACGTAATTGTATTTTTTGGAATTCCAAATTTTGGTTTTGGATCATCTTACCCGTTTTATTTTTATCTTTAAACAGATTACGATTTTTGGTTAATATTTATTTTAAACATTTGTTTATCAATTCTTTGAACTATTCAATAATTTCATTTCAATGAAATAAATTTAATTAATATAAAATGCATTTAAAAATATTTTTAAAAAATAATTAAATATATTCTAAACATCCTACGTCTTTTTATTAGGTGTATCATATTGGTTACCAGCATCAAAAAATTTAGAATATTTTACTAGTTGGGAAAAGGTTCCAGAACAATTGCAAACACAAATTCGACCAAAAATGTTTCCTCCTAAACCAGAAGAAGCTGAACATTTTCATTTGGAAAGATGGTAAAAACAAATTTTTCATATATTCTACTTATTTATTTTAACTTATCAATTATAACAAATTATTGCCTACATAAAAAATTTATGTTTAAATAAAAAATAATTAAATTTGAGATCATTTTAAATTTCCGATTTTAAGAAGTTTAATTTATATATCACTAAACTTCTTATTATAAAAAGATGTGAATCATGTAATAATTAAATAAAAAATTGTTTAATTAATTGTTATTGCATAATTTGAAGTATATAATAGGATGCATAATGTAATTAAAAACTAATACAGAAAAGACAGTATAATAAAAACAAAATAAAAAGTATAGGTCAAAGTAAATGTAAAGGAAAGAAAGTAAAAATTATAGATTAAAGTTTATAATGTTACATAATTATATTTGATAGATATTTACTAGATCCATAATTTTATTTAATGTTTATTATAAATTATTCGTTACATTAATATAGAGATTCTTACAAATATATTAAGACTGTTCATATATTAATCTAATGAACCATTAAGCTATCTATTTGAAACGAATTAGTATTTAACAACTACTGATACTGAAGTAATGTTTACCATATAAAAATAATCCAATTGATTCCTACAGCAAATAGATTTGATATAATTTTACTTCATATTAATTTAAAAATAGTAATTAAATTAATTAATTTTAAATAATTAAATAATTAAATTCTGCTAAAAAGAAAAACAGCATAAGTATTCTGATTATAAACTGTTCAAAAATTATTTTCTATATGCAAGTTTTATACTTTATATATAATTATGTTAATTATTTATATATAGATATATATAGACATACTTTAGTAATCTTTTTAAAAAAAATTAAATAAAATAATCAAAATTATAATACTTTAAATTTTTATTCAATTATTTTGAGAATCATTATAGTATTTCATAAATTATAGTTCTTTATCATGTTTATTTCAGATTGTAATTTTTTAATAAAGTTAATTTAAAAAATAATTATAAATACATTATGATTTTCAATAAAAACTTTCTATCTTATTAAGCATGCGAATATTACCACATCACCAAGATACTGGAGGATTTTTTGTAGCTGTTTTGGTAAAATTAAAGCCTTTACCATGGGAAGATGATTCAAAATAAGAAGTGAATACTGCAAATGAAATTACGCAATATTTTTTGATAAATGATGAAGATAAAACTAATCAAATGAAAAATGAAAACCAAAATTTGGAATTCCAAAAATACAATTACGTTCACAAAGAAAACGAAGAAAAATGTTGCAAGGTTATCGAGAAGACCCATTTGTATTTTTTGAAAATGGAAATGAAGATGTGTGGCCTTCTATAAAGTATGATTTTTAAAATGATTATAAAATATTGATTCATAAAATATGTTAATTTAATTTCTTTATTTTAGGGAATTTTATAATATATCAGACGACTTAAACCCACAGTGTTTATTGGTACGATGTCGTGAAGGTAAAAAAAAGAATATATATTTCACTTCACCTGCAATTCGAAATATTATTATGTGTAACAAAGACAAAATAAAAATGATAAATACTGGTGTTAAAACCTTTGTACGTTGTGACAATAAAAATATGACATGTGCCTTCAGATTAGCACAGGAAGGATTAAGTAATATTGTTCATTTTATTGGAGATCATCGTAAAGTTCGGATATTTAAAAAAGATTTAATTATGCTTCTGCAAAATAATGATCATCACTCTCCACCTGAAATAAGTAAATTACATCCATTGACACAAGAACGATTAAAGGAATTTGGTAAACAACAAATTAAAATCAGAAACATCCATTATAATACAAAATAAAATTATTTCGTAAAAGTATGTAAGTTTTGTTTGTTTTTTGTTTATTCATACAGCTAAAGGAAGTTGCATACTTGTATACGAAGAAGAAATCAAAGATAATCCTTATCCTTTGCGATTAGAAATGGTAGGATGGCGAGGAATCATATCATTAAGAGCATATGTATCAAATAATGACGCGATTCATTATTTGCGACTTTTGGGAGGTGATTGTTCTATGTTTGGTATGTAAACCTATTAATAACTATTTGATAATTTTAGATAAATTTATTCAATATTCAAATATATATATATATATTCAAATAGATATATGTTAATAAAAATTTTTGTTTTTTAGAAAAAAATAAATTTAAATTGAATCGTACCACAGATATACGAATGCTCTAAAACAAAGAGTTGTGTTATTATACATGTCAAGAAAATCCATAGAAAAATAAACCATGACTTTATTTTAACAGACAATTTATACCAGTTACATAAAAATTATTTAAAAACTTTAAATAAAAATTTATTTCTAATATGTATCTATAATTATAATTGATATTTATAACTATATTTAATAAGATTTATCGATTAAACTAAAATAAGATTACATAAACAAATAAAATGCATCTTAGAATGACAGTTACAATAATCAGTATCATGATCAAGTTCACAATGTTTTGATATTAATATATTCTATACATATTTTCATTTATATCTATTTCATTAAATATCTCGTACGGTAATTTAGAATTGTGACCAACACTAATAAAATGATGATTTTTGAAGGTAAAACTTTTATTATACTTACTTTTCATTATTTTCTGGTAAATAAATATGTATTTTCTAATAATTAATAAATTTTTTAACTAGTGAAGTTTAATATTATAATAGCTAAAATTTCTTATTCAAATGTAATTAAATGGCTACTTTATTTCATTTTTATAATTAACTAAACATTCATTTTAAATATTTACAATGTCTCCCAGCAATTGGTTAATAAATTCTAGAGACAATAAAATAACAATAAATACAAAAAAATTAAACTATAATAATAGAATTAACTTTAAAATATTTATTGAACATTTGAATCTTTAATTTATGATAATTAAAATATGGCTATAAATTTACTTGCATAGCTGGTTATTTTGATTTTCTTATTATTTCATTACGAATATTTAATATTTAAATCTTTAGTAGAATACCTATTTGAAATAAGTATAATAAGAATTTAAATTTTATCAATTGCAACTCAAATGAGAAATGAAATATATTTTCATAAAATAATTCTCTTATTTCTATTTGATTTATTACAGCAGAAAAACTGTGGTTAAAATCTACAAATAAAAATATGAAATGACTAGTATTAGTATTAGTAATATTATATCTAATAATATTAGACTAATCAGTAAATATATTTAAATATTTTTTTAATTTAATTTTAATTTAAACATAGAAAAATATATATAATTGTAAGTTATTTTAAGTTCACTTTTACCTATATTTTAAGTAACATATACTTCATAATTTTTTCTTTTATTAATATACGGCTATTATTGATACTCGTTTGAACACAATACTAAATTTCAGCACATTGAAGAATCAATAAGTATAATCTTAAATGCACATATACAATTTTGGTACTATCTTCGAAATTGTACTGTGTCTTATAATAACATTTTATTTTAGAACATAAAAATGAGAGAATTTAATATATTATAAAGAAAAAATAAAAATAATGGTTTTAGAGAAATAGTTTGAAACCGTTAGATTTACTTGTTTAAATAACATATATGAAACAAATTTGAAGTTATATTTGTAATTCGGTATTTTTATCAAGTAAATTATTGATAGACAATAAGTTCAGATTTTTTGAAAAGTTGATTTTATCACTAGAGCTTTTACATTCACTAACATAACTGAAAAATTATTATTAATAACAATGTTCAGCTCAACCTATTTGAATGTTAGAAGAAAAATCAACATCTCTGGTATTGTTCATAAACTAGTTTAATAATCTTTAATATCGATAATGTCATAAATGCGGTCAGGAGTTTTCGGCAGTACGTTTGCACTATAGAAATAGTAAAAATGTGAACCTACATATTCTTGAACAAATGGTACTAATACTTATCTCTTCTAAAAAACACAAGCTATTATCTATTCAATTAAATTTGATATAAATAATGAGCATAATCATCCTTATTATGAATGGAACAATAAAAAGGCATCAATTGATACTTGCTCGAAATCTTTAAGTATTCAAAAAGATAATGAATAAGCATAAGAATATCGATGTTAAGCGGTTGATCAATTTTTCATCTGATCCTAAACGATTAACAATTCCCAATTCGAAATAGCTTTAGCAAATTGAAACTGCAGGTTTATTAATATCCAAACATATAAGTATATTGCGATAGCTCAAGTAGTAGTTATAACTTGATCAGCTATCAAAACATTACTACTCTCATATGCATTGAGTAGGATTTACTGAAAACTATCAACTAAATTAACTGACATTTAAATATACTTTCATTTGTTGTTATATAATGTTTTTATATAATAATATACCAATTTATATGTCTTTAAAATCTATAGTATTATATAGTCATATAAGGCATTTATATATTTAAAAAAAAAATTTTTAATAATAAAAGAACAGATATAAGTATCAAAGCTTTGAAAGTAAAAGTTTTTAATAATGATGTATGCAGTATTAAACAAATTATTATCCTTCAAGGATGCAGATAAAAAGACTTAAAAATGATTATGCACTGGTTTTCTTATTCGACCGTGATTTGTACATAGACAATCCATTTTCGACGTATCAATCACGTTTAACAATTTCTTTAATCTTAAAGATCATGCATCTCTCTCTCTCTCTCTCACTCTACAAACAATGTTAAACAATATTTTCATTTGTAACAATAGCTTAATATGCATTCTTTCTCATTCTTTAAAATGTTAGATTAAAATATCAATTTAATTCTTAACGTGTTCATAAATGTTAGCTCATTGTACAAAGTTTATTTTAAGCTTTTAGAACCCTTAAAACATTACGAACAGACGTGATAAGAGTTTTTTGTTCATCTAAATTGATTCGCTCATTTATGATGCAAGTATGAATTGAGTCATACTTTTCTCTCTTTCTTCCAAGCTGTAAGAATTGATCAGAGTCCTTCGTTCGTAAGCCTTGGATATTCTTCGAACCTTCTTTTTTCTCTATGTTGTGAGTATTGACTTTTATGTATTATATTGCAACCTGTAACGATATTCATCTAGAGGCCGTCACGATAATTATATGATACATTAAAATTACATCTACAGTTTTAAGCTATAAACTATCTATAAATAAATTAATCATAAAGTTGTATGTATTAAAATTCCATTTCTTTTAAAAGAAGTGAAGACTAAAATATATTTTCATTATATTTAATGATTAAACTATTTACATTATAAATTACATTGATGACTCTTCAACTGAAATGATCTAATAAAACTCTTATTAAAAAATAGTGCTTAAAATTTAATAATTAATACTTTTGTGAAAAAAGAATAATGTAATATTCTCCATATATTTTAATATACATTTCTCAATATTTAAAACCAAATATAACAAGTTATTTTTTAAATTAATTACATTTATTTAAAATAATTAGTACAGTGTTTAATATACATATAAAATTTTAATGCTTGATCCTAATTGTAAGAATTAAACTGCAATACTCAACTTCATTATTATATCAATTGCTTTGAATTTTCTATATATGTTTTTTCATAAAACTTCAGTAACAATAAAACAAAACAGATATTAAGTAATCAAATTATAAAAATTATGGTTATCTCGAATATCTAAAACAAATAATGTTTAATTGCAACATTACATATATACTGATATAAAAACTATGGAATATCTACAATATAGAAAATAGAAATAGAATAGATTTGTATTAACAGAATTCTTATGGAATTAAAACAATACAAATAAATAACATAAAATATTACCGACTCTTATTTATATTTTAGTAGTATTTTCAATTTATTGATGAGTAATTTACAAATAACACTAATGCTTTTCATTTTCATAAGTGATATTGATAACACATCGAATCTTTTCGATAAAAGAAAAAGAATAGCTAGTATTTTGCATTAAGAGAAACAAATCATTCGGAACAAAAAAAAAATGAAACAACGGTGATACAATTAAGAAACTCAAAAGGCATAGAATTAGAACTTAGTCACTATCGAAAATCAAATTATGTCAAAGCCCAATATACGTAGTGAAAGCTGATTCATTGTATTGTATTTAGTTAATTAATAAATATTTAGTTGCTATCAAAGTAATTTAAATTATGAGGAGGTTTTAAAGTATAAGATTACAAATCTTTCATACTTTCTTTAGAAGTCATTAGTTTTTTTGTGAACAGAGTTAAATGGAAATAGTAAATGAAAAAAAAATTCTTATTAAATGATTCATAGATAGGATCTTACAGATGTAATTTATATAAATATAAACACAATTTAACTACTTAATCACAGAATAAAAGACTGATGGATCATTGTGAAAATTTAAATAAAGAACAAAATCAACCAAATTACAAGGTATATTTAATTTATGATACCTTAATAACAATAATATAATACATAAATAACTATATAATACATAAAACCGTAGAATAGATTATAATTTTTTCGAAGTTTCAATAAGTTGCGATTTTAAGTACAACGCGAAAACGGTGAATAAAAGTTGAACTCTATACTAGTATAACATATTTTAAATGCTGGAAATTAAAGTACCAAAATCAAATAAACTAATGTCGAATAAATATGATTTTGTAGATTGGAATTTCATTATACAAATCACAATTATCAAATAACACTAAATACATAGGTAGCCATACTATCATATCAAAACCATTGAGACTCATATATGAACGGAGCATGTGATGATACTCTTAATGTCAATGGTTATTAATATTGAAATATTACAAACTATAATGAATACTGGACCTAAGAATATATAAAGATAAGTAAACAAGGAAAGTAATAAATATATAAATAATGGCAATTGTAGCACAAGCATGCAACCAACAATAATACAGAGCGCAGGAAAATCGATTATATTCATAATGCTTTAAATATATAAATTAAAAATGATGAAAACATGAACGTATATGCAGTAAGATTTATAATAGTAAACGTAAAAGTAATAATTGATATTAATATTTTAGGTATAAAATAAGCTAGAATCGTAAACAATTTTTAAATGTAAGTAATTTTAAATGTAATGAAAATAACATAACAAGTAATGAAATGTACATACATTTTTATCTTCAAATATAATGTGTATTATATTATCTATTTAAATACAAATAATGGAAAGGGCAAAAATAAACAAATAACAGTAAGTATTTAAGAAAATATTAAAAACAATTTGAATCAAATACTATATATATATGCTTGAATGTTATGAAATAATAAAATCCATAATAATTCAATATTACTCTATTAAAAGTAATTTAATTTATAAAAAAATATAGATAACATAAAATGTCGGTTCAGTTTCATTAATACATTTTCTATGTATGCAAAAATACTTATAATACAAAAGGTTGGCGATCAAATTTAAAAAATCATGAGAAATATTTATAAAATTGTGAAACTAAGGCATTAGTTAAAAATTTAACAATATAATTATTTTTCGGAACCTTGATAGTTCCATAATAATTTATTATTCTATAATTAAAATAGTTCAAATAACTTTCAGAATATAATGTAAATGCAACCGTAAAATACAATGTGAAAATAACAATGTAAAAAAAAACAAATACACTAAAACGTATATTGTAAAGAAACGTAAAAAAAATATGCTTCAAAGCAATAGATCGAAAATTTACAATACCTGCGATTATGAAATCAGTTTTAAAAGCTTTGGGGTTTCGTCGAACATTATTAATGATTCGTAAAGTGTACGAATGTATTTTTCTTATAATTATAAAACATGAAAAAAAAAACAAGGAATTTATATAGAAAATAAAATATATATATTACATATATATGGAAACAACAAACCAATATATGAACGCTTAGGTTGGCACATCAGTGTTGCCGGAACAAAATTGCTCTAGCTAAATATTTTTAATAGTACCATATGCAATTAATACATTATGAATAATATTTAATATATTTTTATTGATTAAATTAAAAATATTTTAAAAAATCATTAATTTAATTTTAAAAAATTATATGTATATAGTTTATTTTAAAATAAAAGTATCAATATATAAAATAAAAATATTAATCATTTCAGTATTGCTAAATCATTTGTAATTTTCATGTAATGAGTATAACTAGCATATGTAATCATTTGTATAAATTAATTCAAATAACTACATAAAACGTATTATAAAAATTAAAATTCTTATTTACTTGGTACCGTTTTCAATTAAACACGTACTTACGAATATTTTCATAAAATTTAAACGTATTAGTTACTTGCCAGATAAATATACTATCATATACTGTATTAATTTAATATTTTACATTAGAACATAAATTAATATAAAATACTTTTATGTATATCATTGATATATTATTTAAATAAATGTATTCATTTTATGTAATAGAACGTGCTTATTTTTGATAAGTTTATGTTTTTATGTATATATTATATATAATTTAAAATTGTATGAGCGGATTCTTTGGAAATATTATTGATTTTTAGTAAGAATGTATGCCATCATAATTATATAAAAACCATATAGATTCTAAAACTTTGTAGCCAAATAAATTATATTGTTTTATTAGTGATTATTTGGTAATTAATATAAATGATATATATATGAATGATTTATAGAATTTATATAAATACACGTGCAAAATACTCACTGAGGAGAGTATTGTTTGTTTAGTGTTTATATTGTAATATTTTTAATGGAGCAAATTATGTTAACTCATAAGCAATTCCTCATAGCTTTTATTGAAATAAATTTAAAGATTTTTTATGAAACATCAACATTAAAAATTTTATAATTAAAGGATTTTATATTTATATATTTTAGTTTATTTTGAAAATGTAAATGGAGAAATTATATTAAAAACTGGTAAAGGTTATTTTTCTCTTTAAATAAATAATGGTTGATATTAGAAGTGAAATATGAAATGAATTAATCGACAAGTAAAGATTAAAGCAAGAATATTGGAATACGGTTTTAATGTAAGAACCGTTAATAATTCCAGTTATTACTTATACCGTCTATTTTGTAAATAGAAGGAAAAAATGTTTATATAGTCACAAACTACGAAATAATGAAATATATAGAAATACAGTATTTAAGAGATTGTAAAAAAGGAAGTGGAAAAGGTAGAAAATTTGAATATGTATATAGATGAATAATTTTTACAAAGGAGCCATGCCTACATTTTCTACGTATTGCTTATATATCACTTATTTTCTCTCATTTTCTTTGCATGCGTCCTTTGTCCATATTTGTATGTTTTTTTCCTATTTAACAAACTGTGTCACCACTCATTGCACATATAGCAGTTTTTTTATGAATAGATACAACGACACATGCATAGAAACTTATTAGCGTGTATTTATATACGTACGTGGATGTATGGTATGCAAGTAATGTATGTTCATACGAGCTTACGTTATGTCGAGTTGTTGAAACGTATGTGCGAGGGCAAAAGGCACTATCATTTAACACCAGCTTGACAAAAAACGACGTCGGTAGCGTGTATTATTGCGTTATGAGTGTTATATTATAATAGTTTAAAATTATAGAGCCTTTTAATAAATCTTTAGATAATTGGAGTAAATAGTGCGAAGTGTTTAATGAGTGACTGGAAGAATTTAAATCGCGAGAAGCGAAACGACGAAGACTCTTCACAGATTTTGAGGCAAGACAACAGAATATTTTTTTTTTTTGTAACTACTTTATGTATTTTCACACCGTTTTTATCACAAAACAGTAAGAGAGATTTTAGAATCTTTTAAGCAAACAGCATGGTACACATCTATTTCGTGCTCTACAGGGTAAGCCGCCAAATCGACATAAAGAAGTCAAACGAATAAAAGAATAAACCAGGGGAATCATATTTAGCCAATTTTTTTTTTTTTTTTAAACTTGTCTCATACTTTATTACATACGTTATTAATTGTTAATGGAGTCAAGCTCTGCAAAAAACTGGAAGAAAGATATAGAAAGAAATGCAAAAACAGGCAGACACAAACAAAATAAGGGTGATTGAGAAACTGTAAAGTCTAGGAATCTTTAGATATTCCACTAGCTTCCCTATTTATTGATGCGGGTTAAAAATATATTTTATCAATTTTATTTTTCATACAATTATATTGAAGTAAATTTATATAAAGAAACTATATGCATAAAGAATACAGACATATGACTATCCTCTTAGTGTTATTATTTTAAAGTATATATGTTTATTCCAATTTATATAATTTTCTACATATTTATACAACTTGCTTATTAATGTATTTATATTTTTTTATTAATTGGAATTTATTAATTGGTTAGTATTGGAATATGAGCATTTATAAAAAACTTGTATTCTTTTTATATACTTTTTTTTATTTCAATGTTTGTTTATATTGTTGAACTGTATATATATATATATATATATATTAGTTTAATTTATAAATTATTTAAAATAAATATATATCAGAAATTAGATTATTTATTATAATAAATACATACTTTGATTTATAAGAATTATTTGAAAGTAGAGTAATACTTCTTTCTTTTTATTTAGGATAATTGAATTGCAAACTGGATCGTGTACCTAAATATCAACAAAAACATAATAGATATGTGTGAACAAACAGAAATAAATTATTTAGATGGGGATGTCGTTTGGGTAAAATTAGGATCATATTGGTGGCCAGGGCAAGTTATTGGTATAGAAAAATTACCTGAAGACATTCAAATAGAATTTAAGAAGAAACCAATAATTGCTGCTGTAAAATTTTTTCAAGAAGATTCATTGTAAGTTTGATTTTAATATATCTAAAAACATTTTATAAAACTTATTACTTTATAATAATATTATTCAAATTTCTAGTGAATTTGTGAAAAATTATCAGCAAATTTATAAATATAATTGTAGACAAAAAGAAGAATTTATTAGAAAAGGTCTAGGTATGTATTGTTATGAATTTCGTTAAATTATAATTTGATTATATAAAATACAAATAAAACAAAGTTAAATAATAATGACATGACATGCAGTAAAAAATTTTTATTTACTACAATTATTAATGATTATTATTAGAAATTTCTTTATAATTTCAAAATGTTTATTATTTATTTATGTCATATAAAACTAATTTATAAAGTAATAAATATTAGGATTATTTAAGTAAGTATATTTATATAATAGTTATAAAATATTACATTGTTAATAATATCTTTACTAGAATGTTTAAAAAACATTTTTAATTTCTTTTAATATTTGCAATATCATTTTTTTTTATAAAATGCAATTAATAGTATTTATGATTTATGATCAATATCGTTAACATTTGTTTTCTGATTTAATACCATTATACTTTTATAGATAAATATAGAGTAAAAAGTAAAGATGGTTTTAATTATATGGATAAATTTCCTGAAGATGTCAAGACTGCTGAAATATTGACAAATGGGGATCCATATATTTTATTAAATAAAAAATTCAATCCTGAAGAAAAACCTGATATATCAGGATTATTCGGAGAAAAGAAAATTGTTAAGAAGAAACGTAATCGTGAAGATCTTATAAAAAAAATAAATAACGATATACCACCACGTGTTACTCATCCTCGATTTTTACAAGAAAATGATCATGAAGTTCGTATTAGACAACAACCTAAAACTCTGCCATTATCTTCTAGCACTTATTCCTCAGCACGAATTTATCCTTGTCATGTATGTGGATTTACTGCAACTCGTGTTAATGTAATAATTTGTCATCTAAAAAATCATAGACTTAATAAGGAAACAGAAGGAATATCAAAGTCAAAGTTAAAAAGTGGTATGCATTTAAAACAAAAACACACAAATTTAAATTTACCAAAAAGGAAATATATACGAAAATTAGTAAGTTGTAAAATTAAAAATGATAATGTTTTGAAATTGGGTAAGCGAAAGTATTGTAAACAAATTGAAAAACCAATTAAGAAAAAGAAATCTGATCCAGAGCTACGCGAAAAATTGCTTGCTGATTGGAATGTAGATACTGATGAAGATGAATCTTCATATTTTGATAAATCAACGAATGATAGTTCTGTAGATTTATCCAATAATAAATTATCTTATTTAGAAAGTACCGATGAAGCTCATATTCTAAAGATGAAGTCTCTTAAATATAATTCTGACAGTATAATACTTTTACAAGCATCTAATAAAATACTTCATGAAACAGATAACCTTACCAATCTTTCTATGCTGGAAGAAGATAAGCGGAACCTTGACAAAATTAATATAGAACAAACTGACATGGAAAAAACTAAAGAAGATATTCATATTAATAATATTATCATTGAAAAATCTTTTTTAAAAGATGATAAGAAATCAAGATTATCTTGTTTCGATTTTGATGAAGATGATGTACCTGAACCAAGTATTTCATCTGTAAGAAAAATTCCTCGAAGTTTAGGAAGTAAAAATATGTCAATAAAAAAAGAGATTATTAAAGAATTTCAAATGAGTCAAGCTTTATTAACTGATGAAGAAATTCTTTTTAAAAATAATGAAATTAATGAAGTAAATAAAAAAATTAATAAATTTACAATATTTGATGAAAAAATAAAAATTTCTGACGATGTTAAAAATGAAGTTCTAGAAAAAGAAGAAAATATATGTCAAAATAGTAATAAAAATATTGAAAATAAATTTCAAAAGTCTGAAAATATATGTGAAACACATCTTGAAATAGTAGAAATATTTGAAATTGAAAAAGAAAATCTAGAAATAAAATTAAAAAAAGATGAAAAAAACGAAACTGACAAAGAGGCAATGGAAATAAAAAACATTTCGAAACCTAATCTTCAAGAAGATATAGAATTGAAGATTACAAATGAAGAAACTTTTGATATCAAAGTAGAAAGTGAATTAGAGAATGAAGTTCCAGAAATCTTATCAAAAGATAAAATTGAATTTAATCACTTGAATAAAAATAAAATTAAAGAAATTAAAGAAAATGAATGTAAAGATGTGACATTAGTTGAAAAAGAAGTAAATAATTTACATTCGCAATTTTTAAAAAATAATATTTCCAATCAAATTTCAATATTAGAAACTAAACATAATTTTAATGCACTGGAAAATCAATGCATTATTTCTGAGAAATTTATTTCAGAAACAAAATACATGACTGATTTACCAGTTAATTATAAATTTGAAAATCAAAATAATCCTCAAATGGAAATTTTACCTACTGAATCTACTTTGCATGATATATTAAAAGTTGATAATAAAAATACTATAATTAAAGATAATATAAACTTTGCTATTAAAAAGCGGCGTGGACGACCTAAAAAAAAAAAGGCAATTATTGAAGATGTGAGCGATGATGAGTATTTAAAATCAGATAATTTAAAAAAAAAAAGTCCAATTAAAAAAATATCAAATACAGATTCAGATTGTTCTTATGATATCAGAAAACAAAAATCCAACCAAAAAAACGAATCTTTATATTTACCAAAATCTGATTATAGACTATCTAAAAATAATGAAAGTTTATCGGAAAATTACGATAAAGTTAAAGAAATAGAAAAGAAAATGAAAGCAGATACAAAATTAGAAAGCAAAGAAACAAATACTAAATTAATTCATGAATATCAACATTTGAATTTGACCTTCGATAAGGTAAATAATATAAATTCTATAGAATGCGATATTATGGAAAATACTGTTGCAAAGGAACCGAAAATCCAAAGTGATATTTCAGTGTTAATAGATATATTACAACAAAGTAAAGATGATGTAGCAGAAAATAATAAAAGTGATAATGCACATAATAAAAATAATGATTTTACAGGTAATTATAATTTAAAAAATGAAGAAAATATTGATAATAATGTTATACAGATTCAACAAATTAATGAAAAGATGTATATAAAAAAAAATCAAATTAAAAAATTTGAACCTTCCAAAATTAATGTCATTAGTAGTAATTCTGTTAAATGTTTAATTACAGATTTAAACGATCATTTCCATAAAGCTTCTGATGACAAAAAAAATATTAAAAATGATATTAGTATAGAGAGTAATAAAACACAAAATGAAAGTTCATTAAAACTTGTTAAAACTTGCCAAAATAATGAAGTTAATACTGGTTTAAATAAAGAAATTAATAAGGAAGTCTTAGTAAAATGTAAAGAAATATCTACAAATGTGAAAAATAAATTAGTACTAACAAAATCAGTCCCTGAAGAATCAAGCAATTCAATTCATTATATGAAAGTAAAAATTGATACAGAAAAACATATATCTGACACAACTTTAAAATTTAAAAAAGGAAAATTTGACGATAATCAATTTGATTCTTTTCAAGATGCATTTATTAAAACATTACAGATTGATAATTCAATAAAACAAGAAAATGTTAGTGAAATACAAAAATTAATAAAAAAGAAAATTGAACTAAAGGATACTAAAAAAGCATTAGTAAAGGAAACCATCCCGGTTCCAAATTTGATTGAAAATTCCATAATTACAAATTTTTCAATTACAGATAATTTTAATAATGTGGAAGTTGCAGTAACAGATAGTAGTAAAATAGAAGAGAAATCTAAAGAAAAAGATCCATTTATAAATGATAAAAATATTATTATACCATTAAACAATAAATCCTTAAATAATAAGAATAATAACTTAATAATGACAACAGCAAATTTAGCAGTCAATGAAGATAATAAAAAAATTGATGTTCCAATTAATTCAATATTAACGACATTGTCATCAACACTAGATATGAAAAATACTGTTCCAGTGAAGAAAAGGGAAAAACCCAGAATTATTGAAAATGTCGCATTGAAAGAACCGATGATTTTGAAGACAAAATTAATGGATAAGCACATTGGAAAAATTGGAAAACATAAATTAGAAAGTGAAAACATTATAATAGATGAATTAAAAAAGATTTCTAAAGCAAAACTTATGAAAATGGAAACTGTGATATCTAATAGTAAAAGTAAATTTCATACTATAAGTAATTCAAATCTTTTGACAAAGAAAATAATAAAGTCATTCAAATCAGAAGATATTTCACCAGTAACACCAATAACAAATATTAGAAATCAACAAATAATTGCTGCATTACCACAAACGGTATCACGTATACCATATACTGAAAAGTATATTCAACAAAGTTCTCAAAGTCTCGTTGATATGGATTTGGATATTAACTCCATGCCTTTTGTTTTAAGTGAAGATGTATTAACTCCAGAGAGTATTGAACAAATGCCTGTATTAATATCTTCTGTTTTGCCTGCTAAAGTTCCAATCACTACTTTATCAACAACTTTAATTACATCAAAAGAAACTTATAGTGCAAATCAATCATTTGATTCAGTAAAGGATAGAAGTGAAATATGTTCAAAAAAAAAAACTGGCATGCCAACAATTTTGAAAAATAAAAATAAAGTAAAACCAACTATTACAAGTATTAAAACTATTGTACCACCTTTATCTAATACAACGTATAAAGGGAATTTCAAATTGAATACACAAGCTTTAACTTCATTAGATAATAACAAAATTCCTGGAAAATACGTTATTGTTCAGACCTCAGGTCATCAACAAGCTTATAGTACACATCCAAAAGTATCAATACCTACTAGCAAAGGCTCAGGAAATGCTCAAATAGTTCAACAGGGTAGTAAAGTAGTAATTTTAACATCTTCACAATCTGGTCAATCAGGACAAAAAGTGCTTCCCTTAAATTCTATTTCAAAGGCATTAAACACTGGAAATGTACAGCGAATTATAACCTCAAAACAAGGTCCAGAGATGTATAATTCAATTAGTTCAAAGAATTTTATAAGTTGTAAAAATATTTCAGCATCAAGTAGTGATTTAAATTCTTCAATGTCATCAAAACTGGCAGGTCAGAAAATATTGGGTCAACAACAAATAGTATCATCAAAGACTATTTTAACTCAACTGCCTGGAGCGATTACAAAATCAACTATTCTCGGAACATTACCTCAAGGTATTCTTACAAAAGAAGGTATTTTTACACCAATAAATACTTCAACTTTAGGAGGAAAAACTATCATTAGTTCCAAAACTCTGGTCACAAAAGGCTTTCCTCATCAAAGTATTAATACACAAAAAAATTCTTTAACTCAATCACTCTCTAATAAAGCAATTATAAATTCACAAGGAATTGTTTCGAAAGGAACTATTTTAACTCCTATAACTGGATCACAAGTAAAGGCACTTGCTGCAAAAAATATAAAAGGAAATAAATTACAATATCAAATAGATCAACATAAAGTACAATTAGGTGGAATTCAAAAACATTCAAATGTTCCTATTTCCTCATCTCTTGTTCGTAGTACAAATTTTAAAACATCAAGCAGTGTTATGGTATTGCAAAAAGCAGACTTAAAAACTATCACATCAAATAAAAAACACATTAAACAAACTGTTCAAAAACAAATATCTGAAACAACAGTTTTAACACCGCCTACTATTATGAGTATACAACAAAAAAGCAAAGGATCTACAGATCTTGAACAAAAGATTATTAGCTCAAAAAATATAAATCATTCAATAAATCTACAACAAAAAATAATTGCTGAAAAAGATCAAGATACAAAGTTAAATTCAGTAGTTAATAATGAAGCATTAGCACTTAAAACAATTTTTGAGCAAAAGAAGCAAGTAGCATCTACACTAATTTCAAAATCTAATAAAGGTACAAATAAAGTGTTTCATAAAAAAATTTCGAATCTAGCCAATTCTGTAACATTATCTTCAAATGCAAATGCTAACCTTTCCATGACTATACCATTTTTAGAACCAATTAATCATGAAAAAGTACCAAAGAAAGAAGACATCTTGGAACAAATTTCTTCAAAAAAAGAAACAGTTGCTACAAGCCGTTTACAGATGGATGGAGCAATAGAGTCAACAATTAGTGTGCAATCTCAAATTATGGCATTACCAACAGAAAATAGTGATGGTACACAAACTTATGTCTTAGTAACAGTTGATGAGCAAGGTCATATTGTTCCATTAGATAACAATGCGTTAATGTCATTAGAAGGAACATCAAATTTAGATGAAAATAGGACATTGTATATAGACTCAAGTTCATTGACTGAATCTGGAAATATAGATAATATTATTTTACAAATTGATAATGGTTCCCTTTCAAATATCCAAACTACAAATGTACCAGAACCAGTTCCATCAACAGTAATAGAAGCATTACCATCTATACAAAGTACACAGACTACTAATCAAGACATTTTAGCAGCTGCATTAGCCAATACAGATTTTCAACAGGAAATTGGTGTACTTGATTGTTCACCATCCACTACAATAACAAATCTTACTCAAACTAGTTTGATTAATCAAACAATATTACAGTCAACTATAATACCACCTACAGAACCAATATCTTCCCCTTTAGTACTTGAGACCTCATTAACTTTGAATCAACCTATAATGACACCATTAGAAATTCCAAGTACTTTATCTATTCAGTCAGAGTTGACACCTGTTACTTCTATAACAACTGTACCAACTTCTTTGGCATTACCAGTCACTGAAAATAACCAAAATATATCTTATATTATTGCTGAACAGCCATTATTACAAATTTCAGAAAAGCCTAAGGAAACTAAGTTATTAAATGAAAGAGTTGATATAAAAAGATCTCCAAATGCACAATGTAAAATTAAAACTGATTTACTCAATAATATCACTGATAAAAATTCTAAAACCAAATCCAACATAGTTCCAGATCTTTTATATTCTTTTTCAGTAGTTCAAGATGATAAACAAATTCAAACAATACCTTCTATGCCAATAATAGAAGATACATTTAATGCAAATAATGGATTTGATTCAACAAATACTTCTGTTATTGAAGATAAGTTAAAAAATTATGTAACCAAAACGTCTGAAGAACTAATCCAGGATCTCACAGGAAATGATTCATTACAGGTAAAAATAATTTACAATTTAAACCAATTTTTTTTTAATATTGATACAATAATAATATATAATACAATATATAATTTAATAGAGAATTAGTTTAAAAAATCAGTATAGTAATATTTTATTAATACTTTTATTAAAAAGTTTTTTTTATTAAAACATATAACTATTTTAACTATTTACAGGAAAGTAACGACAATTTGAAAAATTCAAGTGATAAAATATGTTTAACTCAAGAAATAATATCAGAAACACCGCAAATTATTATTAATCATATTCAGGATGATTCTGTTTCATCTCAAGAAAATACGAATCTTATCAAACAATCTCAAAAAAAAGTTAAATTAGAACACACAAATAAATTAAATAAAATTAAAGAAAAATTGAATACTGCTGAAGATAATACAGATGTATATGCTGCTTCATCTGAATCGTCTAATAAAATACAATCACGCATTATTACAAATGAAGCATCTGAAGCCACAGTAATTATTGGACAATCAACAATATCACAAGAGAGTTTAATATTGAATGAAGAGTTGCCTTTTAAGAAACAATACAAAGAAACAAAACTCATGAAAGTAATTGTTGATAAAGAAGAAACTATCGAATTAAATAAAAAAGGGAATGTTTGCCATACTGCTAATCTATCAGTAAAAGATGAATTAAATCAAGTAATGTTAGAAGAATATAAAATAACATTTTTAGATGAAAAAAGTAAAACAAATAAACAAATACCAACTCAGTCTTATAAGCAATTTATATCTGCATCAAGTAATATTATCAATGATCCTAGTCAATCTGCAAAATTTGAGAATTTACAAAAAACTACAAAGTCTTTTTCTTATGAATCTCTCAAGACAGATCAAAATACTTTAATTGAAGAAGTTTCGACTCAAATTTATAAAGATTCAAAACAGAAAGAATCTTTCCAGTCTCACAAAAATTTAAGTGGTATAAATACAAATTCTCCTACTCAGTCGTTTAAGGAAATTATGACACTGAACGATAAAACATCAATAAATAAGTGTATAGATGATTCAAATTTCTCTAATCAAAATTTTAATATTGAAAAAATTGAGAATTATGTAGGAAATATGAAAACTGAGACTAACATTGGTCAAGAATGTATTAGTCCTTCACAATCCAATGATATTTGTGTTGATGGAATTGGTACATCTTCAACATCTATAAATAATTTAGTTCTTAATGAAGATGAAACTGCTAGCTCATCTTATGTACCAGAAACTCCTGAAAATCAAGAAAGAGATCAAGATCAAGAAAGTGCAATTAGTACATCATCCTATGAAATACCAACATGTGAAGAATTAAATATTTCTTCTTCAAATATAATACCAGATACGTCTATACAGTCAGAACATTCAAGTATTCATAATAATGGTGTACCAGAAATCCCAACTTCTTCTTATAATTTGAATCCAGATTCAAGTTCAACTCACATAATTGCAGTACCAACATCAAATTATGAAGATGAAATAATTATTGAACAAAATGTTTCAACATCATATGAAGTACCAATTTCAATTGGTAGTTTGGAAAAAACAGGCTTACGAAATTATGTAACTGATGGTTCAGAACACAGAAATGAATCATCAAACTATTATCCTCATGAGGAAGTGACAGAAAGTTACTATGAAAGTATGTGTAAACGATCGAGTACGCAATTAGAATCGAATTCGGAGGAAGAAGCGGCGCCTAGTTATTATGAGAGCAATTCTGTAGATGTTACATCAGAAACTTCACAGAGTTATTTCAATCAGGATGAAGTGACTCACAGTTATGATAATCATGATATTTCGTCAAATTATTATGATTCACAAATTGAGAACGAAGCAAGTGCAAGCTTTTATTCTACACATGAACTTGATACATCGGCCGAATCTACACTTCAGAATGTTGAAACAACACAAAATTTTTATCAGGAGAATAGGGATGGACAATTCCATGAACAAGAAGAGGCTACCCCAACTTATACTGACAGATATTCTCTTGACTATGTTCCAATAAATACAGCACTTGATAGGCATGACTTGGTAGATAGTTCTATAACAGCAAAATCTATGGATAGGTAATATATTGATTTGAAAACAATTTCGTTTTTAATTGAGGTTTAAGAAATTAAGAGTGATATAAAGAAATAAATTATGAAAAGAGCAAAAGTTTAACCGGATTTTTATCGGTAACATTATTTTATAACTGTACATATATTATTGTTAAGCTCTTTAAATAATTAATTTAAACTAAGTTTAGATTCTTATAATTTATAATTATGTTTATATATAAATATCTATCTTCATTGGATATAATCTGTTTGTGAAATGCTATCTATAAACATTGTAGATTATGGAATAACTTGAATTTATTGTAGTATCAATATTGTTTTTATTTCATTAATTCTATTTTTTTTAAATCAATAATTGAGCATCCATAATCAATAATTATATGTTGAGGTTTAAGACTGGGTGCACTCCTATCTTACTTCGAACTTTTTCATATATTATTTAGGTGTGAAGTAATTGTTTATTTTTTCTTTTCTCTACAAAATGTGACAGAATGTAAATTTCATATTTTATCTGAATAAAAGTTAAGAAATGTCAAATTTTTTGGAAAATTCTATCAGTTTTGTTTGTAATAAAATTTTTTTCATTGTAAACATAAAATATGCTTTATGATAATGATCAAATAATCTCTTAAATAAGTGTACAAATATTTTTACACTAATTTCTAGTATTCATCTGTGAGTTAATGAAAGTTATATATTGTATTGGATTTTATTGTTACTCTTAAATATTCTAGGATGTGCACATTCATTTAAGTTCCCAGAGTAAAAAGGTGTCGAAATTAAGCACAATAATGTTAATTTTTAATGTAACTAGAATTTTATGTATTCTACCAATTAAACTTAGAGTATATAGAAAACATTCTAAGTTATAAATAGCAGTCCTTATTGTTTGCGAATAATAAAGAACTTTTTTTATTCCATTCAAATACATAAGCTTAAATTAAGATAATTTTTAATATATATTGTATTAGAGTTAGCACATAATTATAAGTATGTACATTTTGAGCGAATCAAAGGTTGCTCTTACTATATTAGATTTTATTGTGTAGGAATAGCTTATAGTTATCTATGCAAATAAAAAAAATTATTTCATTAATAACGTTGTATAATCTATAATCATAATCTGTATGTATGCGTATGATGGGTATAATAGGTATGTTTCCATGTGTAGAGGGAGAAATACTAAAATTCATGACAAAATTTAATATTATCGTTTCAGACAAAACATAAAGGTAAACTTTCAATTGAGATTATCTATATAAAATATTGATTGTTGATAACTTCAACATAATACTTTTAAACATGCAAAACTTAACAGATTAGATAAATAAAAAAAAAATTTATTCATACTTTCTAATCATTAAATATTTCATTTTACTGATAATGTACATATGTTTGTACGTATTCTGAAATAACAAGTTTATGGTATGAACAATTTTTTAAAGTAAATATTTTTAAATTCTTATTGTCGTTATATATAAAAAAAGATTGGTAAGCATGATATAAGAAACATTTTTTAAAACTACTTATAGTCTTGTTATCTAAAATTATAAAAATATATCACAAACAATATGTTATAATTTAAAATATATATAATATACAAATGATTAATCAATTTACTTTGTTAACATTATTATTAAATAAGACTAATAAATTTGAGTTTTAAACGTACAAATATTTAAAGAATCGAATTTTTTTAAATATAACAATGCAGTTTAAAATACTTTATTTTCGCCAATATTGTGCAAATTTATGAAACTGTTCTACCAATGCTGCCATAACAGCAGTTACTGATAAATCTAGAAGATTTTGTACATAATGAACAGCTTCTTCATCACTTAAATCTAGACGTAATTTATCTTGTACTTTTTTAACAGCTTTATCAGGTTCCAATGCAATATCAGGTACACTTGCATCCACCATTAATGAAAACAAATTCAATAGTAAATTTGCATGTCGGCGTAAATGAAGAAATGCTGTATAACATTGTTTTCTGAATTCATGATAATGTTCGGATCCAACTCCACCCATTGCTTCAACCATTTCTTTACTGAGCTTCATTGGTGGTGGTAATGGTTTAGGATCTCTTCCAAGAATATAACCAAAATCAATGTGAAATAATTTACCTTAAAATAAAAGAAAAGTTTATATAGATTTATAGTTATTTAAATTTATAATTTTAGTTTTCTATGATTTATTTGTTTAATTTTATATATAAACAAATATTTAATGTATCCATGTGAATGAAATTACTACCTTTTTATTTATATAGACAATAAAATATATGGATTTTGCAAAGTATAAAGGGTCGAAAGGATAAATGGTACTGTTTTATATATTGGTCTGTATTTTAGTATTTAGTTCTTTTATTTGACACATATTTAATCACTTCCATTTCCATTTAAATATTTATTAATATGATTAATAAATCGTGTTTAATTGAAATTTTAATATAATATATCAACTAATATTCTTATATTTTAAGAATTAAACAAAAGTCCATATTTAGTAATAATTAAAAAAATTAAATATTGTAAACAATTTATAAAGTTATTAAATACTATAGAAGTCTTTTTAACAATTTTATATTACACATTTATCTACTTATCAGTAATCAGAACGGATATATTGGAGTCAGCATAAATTTTAATTATTTTTTTGTTTATAATAATTTATGATGAATGGAGAAATATTTTTGACTATCTATTGTGTACTGTAATTGTTCAGAAAATAATATTAGAAACATACTTTTTAAAAGGGATGAGATATTATGATTACATCTTTATATTTGTATTGATTAAAATAATTAAAAAAACATTTTTTTCTTATCAATTAAGTAGGTATTGTGGTATTATGCATTTTTCAAGCATTGCACGTTTATTATATTTATAAATGTTTGTAAAAATTCTAAATAATTCACCAAATGTACAACAGGTTTCATATATATATATGTTAAAATTTGGACTAAAATCAAAGAATCAATTTATTTATCAATTTATCAATTTATAATTAATATAATGCCCAGAAACTGAAATTAATTTGATTAATTATAATAAAAGTACCTTTTGGAAATACACCATTAAATCAGCTGTGAATCACGTATGAATTAGATAAATAAAATAATCGAGTACCAAAAATTGATTAAATTAAAGCAACGTTTGAACATCAAGTGCATTCAAATATTTAAAATTTTTCAAAGTAACAGAAAATTAAATTTTCAATTTTGCATTAAAAAATAATACTGAAAAATCAGGTGCTATTACAAAGAACGAATTAATTGAATTCGTAATTGACTTCAAGTAAAATGAAGATATAAAGTATACAAGCACAAAGGTTAACGTAAGCTATTATTGACGATTACTTTGACTATTACTTTAAGACAATTAGACGAGCGGTTACATATCTCCATGTGCTACAGTAGAAAAAAATAATGGCAACTAATTTGAAGAATTTTTGTTTAGCTTGTACTATAATTCAAATTGTAAACAACAATATATATCATTTGGTAAATATCAAATAAATACATAACCATTTATTTTCACAAATCTATTTTTGTAATTTCGTAAAATAAATTATTCGCAATTTATTAAGATTTTTTATTTTAATTTAACCATGGTAGTCTATATTTATTAACTATATTTTATTAATTGAATTTTATAATAATTAATAACTTTATTTATTAATCGTTAATTTGTTCCATAAATAATAAAAGGTTATTTATTTATATTCTTTAATCTATATATAATAAAGATTTTAAAATACCTGATGTTGTAAGAAGAAGGTTGTCTAAATGTCGGTCTCCAACACCCAAAACATGAGTTATAATACAGTATCCAGCTAAAACGTAAAACATTACAATTTTTATTTTTACATAATTTTATAATTAAATATCATGATTTTACCACAACTTCGAATATAGGTATCCATGACTTCGGGGACAACACCATATGGTCCATTTTCTGAAGGATGGTTTTTCCGAAAGAAATTTAATATCGAACCTTCATTGGCCAATACTTCAGCAACGGTTGTTGATTCAATAAATTGTAAAAATCCATGCCGTGTACTAGTTGCAAGAACCCTAAATAATTAATAAATTGTTCAAATTACAATCATGAAATGTCAAGTTTTATTTAATTACCTATAAGGGGTTAATTTTAAATCTAGATTTTCACGTCTTAATAATTTATCCATTAATGCTATAGTTTGTAAAATTAGTTGATCTTGTCTTAAGTCATCACCATGTTTAAAAATAGCTATGTATTCTGTATTTTCTGTAGTTAAAAAAGTTAATTTTGAAGGCATTAAAGCAGATTTAAACAGACTGGTTCTAAAAAGATATATTTAATAACAAATTAGTTGGGTATTATAATAGTATATTGTGTTTTAATTATAACAATACTGATAGATTTATTTTCAAAAATGCATATATTTACTTTTCTGGTATTATTCCTTTAATGGAAATATCTGGATCAAGCGGAAAAGGAATAGGTTCAAAATTTGAAAAATTAATCTTAAAATTGATATCAGCGTCTATTAATAATGATCTTAATCGTTCCATTTTTTTTTTACGATTACCACTTTCTCTGGCAACAATTTTAACAAGTGACAATAATTGATCAATAAATATTTTTTGCCTTGTTAGAAATGCCCATCTTTTTTGCCAAATATTATTACCATATGAAAGAACATTTGAAAACATTTTCATTACAGAAATGTACATTTCTCGAATACGAGTATCTTGTTTTGCAGTTATGATTGGATCAGGTTGATCTTCACATTCAATTGCAAGATACCAATATAAATAATTAGCTAATGTCGAATTTTGGCACGCGCGTGTTATAAGAAAAGTAGCTAAATCGGTTTGAGTATATTGGTTTTCCAAAAAAACATCAGTTTCTACTGATAGACAGGCCTATAAAAATAAAAAGTAAAATATATATAGGTATTGTATTTTACATTTAAACTCATCCAAATTCTATTTTCAAAACTTCTGTATTCATTAAATTACATTATTATTACAAATTTTATCAAAAACTTCAATGACTAAAATTGGAAAAATATCAATTAAAATTAATAAATATAAATTATTAGTTTCTTAAAATTGAGTTTTATAATTTTTAAAGTTGCTATTAATATATTAATATATTAATATTAATGCTTAAAATTCTTTAAAGAAATTTATTATATTAAAAAATTGATATAATTATTTGAGTTAAAATATTTATTTAATTTTAGATATTTAAATCAATAATTGAATTTAATTAAATATTAATAAATATTGATATTTCAGTAAATGAAATTTTTTAATGAATGTCTCCATAAAATAACTAATTTTAATTAGATTAAAAAATATACGAATATTTTTATTAGCATATCATACAACTATTTTAATATATAGCAATTAGCATAGTTAAATACTTACAGTATTTCCAGATATTGATGATGAAATATTATTAGATTTATATTCTTTACTAATTTTTTCACTGTTATCAATTAATTCTCTATTTTTACTAAAAATTTCACTAGCAATTTTGATGCTTTCAAAGTTTTCATATTTCAATGCTTGTACTAATTGCAGTAAATACAACATTAAATCATCATCTAATGCATGATTTAAACGTTCAATTGCATATCTTCTAATGGCTGGATGTGTAAAAGCTGGTCCAAGTAATTCTAAAGCATCTTCAGGGTCAGGTGGAGCCCATAGAATAAGCATTTCTAAAGCTTGACGTTCCTCTCCAGCTACTTTCCAATTTACACATTTTATAAATTTTGTAAGTGCTTTTTTCTGGGTAGATAAATAAAATCGGAATTTCCAGATTAGGTCTTGTTCTTCTGTAGAAAGTGCAGTAGTAGGTGGATATGATAATATAGTGTTTAAAGCATCACGAACATTAGATGTTGGTTTTAATTCTTTTGTATTTCCACCACTTCGTAAACTTCTAGCTAATTTATGATGTTTAGCTTCCACTAAATTTTCCTAGAATTAATTTTCTCTTATAAGTTATACAAAATTACTATTAATTTTTTAAGAAATTTTTTAATTTAAGAAATAAATAATTTTTGCAATTTAATTAAAATTAAAATGGAAGGATGAATTTTATTTAATATGTTTAAAAGCAAACTTTAAATACTTAAACTTTAAATATTTCTTCTTGACATTTCAAGGAATTTTTGATCAAATAACTATTTAAACATCTAAATACATTAATCTTAAAAGAATGTAAAGCTTTAAATAAGTCAATAAATCTTAAAAAATTACTGGATTTTTATAAAATAGTAATATAAAATAGTATATTGTATCTACTATAATAATATAGTATCATCAATATTTTCAATGAATTATAGCTTTACATTTATATTTACTTTATTTACAATCTTTGAAAATAATGTTCAATAATTATTCAGAAATCATAAAATGTCATGCCTGTAAAATTTCATAATCTGGAAAAGTAACAACATCTGGTTGTGATCGATGTTGCACTACTTCATCTCCATCCTTTTCATAATATACAATAGAATACTATAATTAAAAAACATGTATAGTACAAATATATAAATTTATAAAATATATATTTACTACAATGTTAATAAGAAGTTTTTAAAACCTCCAAGTACATAATCATATAAGTTAAAATGTTATAATTTCAATTGAAAACTTTAAAAAAGTTGTTAATATTGATTAACAACAAACTGTTAATTAATAAGTTTGAAATGACTTGGAGGTTATATTTCTTCTTTAAAAATGAATAAGAATATCACACACAGGTATTCCATCTATTGTAATTTGTGGAAATTCAACCATAAGGTATAAATAGTCAGAAGCTCTTTTTTCTTGTTCATTAATTAATTCAATTTCACGGAAAGTCAATCTATCAAGCCAATCTACTTTACTTATTTGTCCATTACGATGTTTTTTTGCAAGTTTAGCCAATCTATGCATTTGTTCTTTTCCGTGATCTCTTGCTTTACCTGGAGTTGTTGTAAAAATATCACTATTTGCTTCTAATCCTGGCCAAACTTTCAAATCAAGCATTCCTTGACGGAATACACCATGTTTGCCAAAGAGTGAAATCGTAGATCCACCTACTGGTATATGCCTTCCCGGTCCAGCACAATCATATAGAGTAATACACAATTGAGAATTACGAGGTAAATCAGCATATGAAATTGGTAAGGTTATCCATTGATTCCAGCTGTAACAAAAATAAAAATTTTATTATAAATTAATTATTAAACATTAATATTTGTAATAAAAACATTTTTCATAATTTTTAATTACTTCCATCTAGATGTAAAATGTTTATATGATGTATGAACTGGCAGTGCAAGTGCTCTCCCATTAGCATGTACTTGAAGAGAAGCAGCTAAATCTCCTCTTCCGCATCCCGACCCGAATAATCCAGAGTATTTTAATAGAGGATCAACTAATAACTTATCATATTCTGGTCGGCATCTTTTACCTTCTAATGTACCTCTAAAATGAAAATATTTAATAATACAAAAGTGAAATGATTTATATAAAATAATACGAACAAATAGTTCTATTATATCTACATCTTTATTTGTATTTTTGTTTCTAAAGAAGAACTATAAATATAACAAAATTTATCACTGCTATCTTCCATTTCAAATTAATTATTATCATTTCCCATGTAAATTATTAATCAATACTTTCGTCTACCAAAAATTATAAAATTTAACTTTCTTAATTACGATATATATTTTAAATGAATTTTTTATTTCTTAGAATGCCATAAATTTTTGACCATTAATTAATTCCAACATGCGCAATCGACATGTAAGCTCTTTTTGTTTGCATATGCGCAGAAATTTCTTGTACAGAAAAGTTCACATTGCGATATGCGCCAATAAATTAAAAAAAGAAAATATTTGCTTAAGTGTATATTTTAAATCTATAATTTTTTATAACTTTTCAAATTTTTCTAAAAATTAGAATAGATGTTATCTGCTCATCAGATATTTTTAACTTTTTTTTTAATAAATTTTAGATTTCTTAATGAAATTTTATTTTTTAAAAATTTAATTTTTTAACATATTAAGAGATTTAAAATTGATTTGTTTGTTACTGAGACAAGGCTATGTTTGAATGCTGATTAACAACGTGGATAAAGAGATAATGTTGGGTCTCTCTTACAATGTCCTGATTCTAAAGTTAAAATCCTCGTAAGCTCCCAAGATTTGATATCGGTAAATTCAATCACGTCAGTTAAAAACAGTATATCTTTGTAATATTTTTATATCCTTTTAGTAGTATGATTACTGAAGTCTTATTTAAGTAGTTTTTAATATGTAGTGCTTATGAAAGTTATTATTTTCAAAAATATTCCGAGTCCAATTAATGTTTATACATTTAAAAAAAGAGCAACTACTTCTATATAAGAAAGTCCAAAAGGCAATTCATAAAAGAAGTTATGGACAGAGTGGTTCAACATTTATAAAAAATTTCAAAAACTAAGTGACATATACTTATCTTGGCAATATTTTCAACAATGCATTAAGCTCATTACATGTCTCATTATACCTCTACAGAATGCATGATAATCAAGTTATTAAATCGTGACGATTTGGTATAAATTTGTCCAATTAGCCGACTACTGAAATTTCCAAAGAAATTGTATTTCTTCTTGGCAATCAATATCATTTCAAGATGCTTGCTTCGTTATTTATGTGCTATACCGAAAGACACTACGAAACTCTATTATTGCTATTTTGTAAGTACTATATTATTGACTATACTAGTTGACTCAATTTAGAAAAACTATATTGTCAAATTTTTATTTCAAAATGGCTTTTGAGTTGCAAGTGAGATGATATGAACTTACACATCGATATTGAGTAAAGAATATAATAAATAAATAATGGTAGGTATATTTAGAGTTATTTGTTTTATTCTGAAAAATTAACGTAGATGCAGATAGCACTTCAATATCAAGAAAAGCAAAAGATGCCAATAAGATTTTGTTTGAAATAATACAGTAAATTTTAAATAGTCAATAAGGTGGTTAAGTATATTTTATGCAAATTGAAGTTAAAATTTATTAGTACCACACACTGATCATTTTAATTATCAGAAAGAAACAAATGTTAATATCAATTGAATAGATAATATGGTTTTAAACAAATTATTTACCTATTTCTAGTGCTATTTATAAATATTAAAAATAACCCTATGATAGTACAATCATTTTACTATTTTCGTTATTCAAATATATATTTACGTATGTTAATTATGTATATTTACGTAATGTTAATTTTTCATTTATTTCATATATTTTCTATCCGTTTTTTTTTTAATTCTATTAATTAATTTTTAAGAAAGTTTTTTATTGCATATATCGAAGAACTTTAAGGATACATTCGTAGATAATTATTAATGATAAACTAGTATTTACAAACGTGATATCTAAAAAGTAAACATTATGAGGAGTTGACTAGGTTTTAATTATATAACCTTTTTAAAATTAGCACTCAAAGTTTTATATTTTACCATTTATACCATTTATAAAATTTTCATTTCATTTAAATTTATTAAAAATACATTAAAAATTTATGAGTATGTCTTTGATAATAACATAAAAATTTTAAGCTTTTTTATGAATGCATTATTCCTTAATCATTGGAATTTAATAATATTTTACATATAGTTAAATATAAATATCATTTTTTGTAAAATTTGATATTCAAATTTTAAGTTCAGGACTGTACTATCTTTGTTTTCAAGATTATTTTTTTTTAAAGATAAGAATATCTGCACAAAATTTCAATGTAAAATAATAAATTCAGTGTACAGTATTTACAATAGATAAATCTGTAAATATAAATATTGCTTTGAATAATCAAAACGTACTACTATTATAATAAATAAAATGAAATTAGAGATAATTTTTAAAAAATAGTCTAATCGAAGATTCTATTACCTCGAAACATGAATCATAGTTAAATAATTAAGGAAACTTTAAGGAACGCTTTTATTAACAAATAATGTATTTTTTAAGAGACGCGTACTAAAAGCTAAATTGAATTATAGCTAATTGCAAATTTTTAATTTTCTAAAATAACATGTTTTCTACTCTTATTTTTATGTTAAATTAATATGTACGATTTTGTAAATATTAAAAATTTTATTTTAAATACTGATAGTTAATAAATCAATATTAGTATTGTACTGATAAGACTATCCACAAGAAAAGTTATAGTGAAGATAATCGTGAGTTAAAGTGGGCAGTAGAATGTTTTCTCGCTTTCATATGTATTCAACTAATAATTGATGTATGATCACCTAAACATGATTGGATGATTAGAGTAGTATAAATAATAAAAGAATTTAGCTTATCTCCATGGTAATTGTTACACAATCAAACAGTCAAATCATGCGACTAAATAAATAAAATTCAATGGAAAAATTCAGTTATAATGTTTTTAAAAAATATTATCCTAACAATTGGATCATAGAACGAATATGATAAAAAAACTCTCAAGCATTGTAGTTATTTGTAAAATAAAAAGAATCAAATGATAAAATCTTAGTTCATTTTTTGCGAAAAAATATATTATTATTCAGGATTTGCGTTTTTGTGTTTTGGTTCACCTGCGGTACACATTGAAATAGTCAGTGATTACAAAGCCAATGGTTTTGATATCTACATACAACAGAAGGATTCATTGCGGCATATGAAGATTCTCCTTATACATTGTATTTAGATTATGATATGACCATTATAGGGCTGATGAAGAGATCCAAGACTATGAGTGAATGTCACCCCTTAACTAGCTTACTATCCCAAAGATGGAGCTGGCAGCGGCTTGTTACTACCAAACTCGTGCAGTATAACCAGACTACATTGAACGTAACTGTCACATGGATCAAATCTCGTGCATCACACTGAAAGGACTTGTGAGAACCAGGACACTGGATTCAGGATGTTACTTTAAACACTCACTCGAATTATGTTACCAATACGTATGCTTGTAGTACCATACCAATCCCTTCGGCTGAAAAACAATCATCAATGAATTTGCTGATGGCGCACGGAATGTTCAAGATTGAATTAATGTCCAAGACCGTTGGCTCTCGGAGTTATTGATCCCTTGAGCTCTCACATTTCTGTAAACATTTGGGTCCGAGAATTCTTGAATATTTGTAATGTTTTGGTTTCAACGTCCTACTTTATTGAGTTTATTGAGCCTCCGCATAGCAACGTCGATTGGAATTCTCCTACTTTCTTCAACTTTGTTTTCCTAGCGTTCTCAAAACTTCTCAAACGTTCACGAGTTAGTCTAGATTCTGTATAGCAACATCTATCCGTTATTGCTAACTACCTTAACTGTATAAGGTAAGCATGTGACGAGCATCGCTTTCTCTTAGTGAAGACGCCACGACATGAAACACTTTTTCCCACCAGTAAACTGGTGATGAGAGCCAAATCCAACTATCCTGGTCCTTCGACCATTGGATGATAATTATTAACTTTCGAAATGCTTGCAAATTATGCAGCAATCAAATGGATATACGAAAAATTTTTAAATATTGACAATATTTTATATTTTACTAAAATTTGTTATATATAAAAACAGATAAAAATTACTTTAAATTTATATAGATCTAATTTTCCATTAGTTGGAAATAAATATAGTTGATATAATTAATTTTGTTTTATTAAAGATTTCAAAATATTAAATAAGTTAAATATGATCTAATGTACAATGATTTTAAAGTAAATATTTAAATATTGATACATATCTATAAGTTATATAATTATTTTTAATAGAATATCTAACACATTATTTAACATTAGTTAAAAATGGTTATTTCCTTATCAGTATTAAATGATTATAGACTTAATTTTTATTTATATTTATAATTTTATATTAAATAATAGATAAAATATATATAATTATATTATATAATTTTACTTAATATTAAATATTATTATTAAAGGTATTGTAATAAAACCATTTTAATAATAATTTATATATAGTTTTATTTTAATAATATTATTAATTTATATAATTTATATACATTTTCATAATGTAAAAACGATAAAAATCCATATAATTAATGTAAAGTTTGAAATCCATATTTTACTATAATTTATAATATTATTTTAAATATAATTCATTTTAAACAATATTCTATAATAAATGGGATCACTTTTATATTTGATCATTAATTGAAATCATCAGTATTACAAATCTATTTTTAAAGACGCTAAAGTGTTGATCATTAAGTTTTAGTATCAAATATTATATATAAATCTTAACTTCTTATGAAAGACAATAATTTTTTAATCTTTTAACAAACTTACGTTGTGAGATAAATTATAATCAACCAAAACATATAAAAATTATTTTTAAAGAAACAACTTATTAATGAATAAATATATTAAAGTTTGTTTATTTATATATAATCAAGCATTGGCAGAAAAAATTTAAATGTAAATTTAAATTAAATTTAAAATTAAATTTAAATTTAAATCTAAAATTTACATGCATACAAATATTATTTTATTAAAGTATTTTATTAATATGTGTTTGAATTGATCTGAATTAATTTTAAAGCTATTAATTACACTTAAGTACTTCACCTTTAATTTTTTCTCTTCATACTTCCATGTATTGTTCTTTAATTATAATTAAAAAAATGCATTAATACACAATAATATGAAAATGATATATTTTTAAAGCATACTTATATATTTTTTTAATAGGGTATTTTATTTATAACTGTATAATACGAATATTTAAAATATTAATATATTCAAAAATATTTCGTTCAACAAATATATTATCACAGATTCAATATTTGTAATAATTATTAATTCTTAACAATGAATTCTATTTTATTATTCTACTAATTATATATTACAATAAAATCATGTGTAATAAATTTCATATTATGTATCATTTTTGTTGCTTTACATTACTAACGTAAAGCAATGATTCTTTATGTAACTAAATAAAATTACGAGTTGAAATTTCATAAGTTACAGTTCAATGATTCTATCACTATTTAGATAAGTAAAATATAAATTTGGAAAGTTTTTTGATATACAAAAGATTTACGCAATAATGAATTGATAAATCTTTGAGTTAAACTTTGGAAAATCATAGTTTTATTATAAATACTTTTTACAAATAAATTATAATTATTATTATTCATTATTAATTATTTTATAAATTTATAAATAAAAAGTTTACTTATTGTTAAGTATTACTAATAATATATCCAAATTCAATATTAATTTTTAAATATTTACAATACCAATTCCGATTTTGATTAGTTTTTTATTCTTTTATTAACAATGTCATTGTTAATAACAACTAATCAGTATAAACTTACCGCGCAAACTCTTAAAAAATAAAGATCAATCTTCAGTACTATCTTTGTGTAGGAGTATCGTCATAGGAATTTTATGCCTTGGATTCTTGAGTATGTTCATTTTGTATAATTATAAACTATTTATAAAAAATGGTGACTACCGTCCCGTCTCGATTTGCTGTACTAACTATTGACGATGATGATTACATAAAAAGAAAATCTCACAAATCTGTAAATACAAAAAATAATACAGAAGTAAAGGATGAAAAACAAACTAGACTCCATAAAAAAAATTATAGAAGAAAAAAAAATAAGGTAATTATGATACATTTAAAGTTTTTAGTATGCAAAATTTAAACTTCATTAATTTTATCTTTGAAAATTCACAATTTGTATATCATATATTTGTATTAAATTTGAATATACAATAAGGTACTTGAAACTCGATTAATTATTCTTTAAATTTATGTTTATAAATAATACTATTTAAATTGTGATTATGGGTAATAAATATTAATATTCCAATATGGTAAAGTTATAGTAATTATTTTTTATAAGTAAATTAAAATTATATAAAAATATTAATTTATAAGTAGTTACATTAGTTAGTTTTTAAAATTTCATAAAACATTCAGGATTAAATTGAAATTATAATTAAAGTTAAATTAAAATATTGTATTTATTATAGTCATAAATCATATAGTATATATGAAAATTTTGAAATTTTAGGAAAAAGAAAAAAAAAGCAATATTAATGTACAAGAATGGGAGCAGTGGAAAAGAAAGGATTCAATGGTAAAAATATTTATACATCAGCAAAATTTTTATTTTTTATTATTATTATTTTTAATTAAATAAATTTTTAAAAAATTATATAGATTAAATTATTCTCTATAAATATATTAATAAATCTCTATAAATCTATAAATATATAAGTAATAAAAAAAACTAAAAAACAAATACTATTTTTATTCTTGAATTTTTTTTAATATATTAATTTGACTATAATTGTTTAAAAAGTATACCATCATTATGAATTTTGGTATTTCTAAATTTATATATAAGAAAAATACAATAAAAATTAATCAGTAAATTTAGTGATTTAAAATTTATTAGTTTTGTTACAAAATGTTAATTATATAAAAAATATAGACTGTGTACAAATTTCATAAATGAAATATTTGTTTGTTTTTAAGGTGATTGAAAAAACTTACGAACAGGAATTAAATGAAGCTATATTATTGTCGAAATTATCATATGAAGAAACACAAATGGAAATGAAACATAATGTAGAAAATAATGGAAACAATGTCAAAAAAAGTAACAAAAAATCAAAAAAATCAATGTCATTAGAAGAATTTAATAATTTTAATGAGTACGTGGCAGAAAATAAAGAATTAAAAATTAAAAAAGAAGAGAATAGTTTAAAAGGTACAATTTATATATATATAACAATCTATAATTTATATTACTATAATTAAATTTCATTTTATTTCGAAAGTGTAAAAGAGAAATAAGAATTAAATTAATTTATTATTATATCATTAAGTTTTTATTTAATTTGGTATATTGTTAACATTTATTTTGTAATTAGATACTGCATTTTTTCAAAAAATTGAAAAAGAGGCAAGTAAAGTACTTACAAAAGAAAAAGAAAATTCTGCATTAAAAATAAGGTTGCATCAATTAGATGATGGTATAACATCAGCTCAATTAAAAACTGAAATCGAAAAACGTGATAGTATTATTGAAAAGCTTAAAATTGAAATAAATCAATTAAAAGAAGATGTAAACAATGTAAAAAATAGAAATAGAAGACTTTATCAAATACTTCAACAAGGTGAAAGTAAGTGTAATTTCTATTTTTTATTTTAATATTTTAATATAATTCATATTTAAATATTTCTTAGTGAAAGATAAGGCAACAATTTTAGCTGAAGTAATTAAATTACATGAAATTAGAGATGAGCTGACAACAGAGGTGACTTTACTGCATGCACAATTAGAACAAGAAAGATCTAAAACTCGTGCCTCTTTTACTGATATTAAAACAACTAAACAAAATGTAAGTTAACTGAAGTTAAATATTTATTTTGTTTGGCAAGTATGTAACTTAAATTAAAAATTTGAAACTTATTTAAATATCCTTTATGTAATTTTGAATTATAAAATTCATTAGCAATGAAACAGTTTAATACAATTTTTAAATTAAAAAAGAAGCAATATGTAACATGTATTAAGTATTGATGATGCATAATAAATATCAATATAAAGGAACTGTAATGAACTATTGAAGTTTAAAAATTATTATATATTATGATTATGAGGACAAGAGTACAACTAATATCAACCTCAGCATTCGTTATTAACAACATATTTAAAAGTATTTATTTCAATAAAAACAATAATACGTGCAATTTATTATAGATATATAATTATTAAAAAACTTTTAATTATATTGTTATTATTAAAGAATTAATAAATAATATTTTTCTATTTTCAGGGTAAAAAAAGACTGGGTAATGATAATATTTAAAATGCTCTTCATTTAAAAATTTTAATAATTTACGTACTCATTCGATGTAATATAACATTCTAATTATAAATTTTAATATTAAATCAATAAAATATACATGTAAAAAAAGCTTTAACTGTATATTAATAAATTTCTTATAAAATTTATAAAAGATGTATTTCCAGTATATAAGGTATGTAATGTTTCATACAAAATAACTGAACTTTTTTAAAAATGATTTTAAACATAGGTTATTAAATAAAATAATTTAATATATATTAAAAAATATATCTACGATCTTCGTCTGCATAATAGATTTATTATATTTTGCTTTTAAGACTTGTAAATTATTAATTACACAAAAAATGCTCTATTAGAATATGAATTTTTTCATGTATATTTCTTTTATTACTAAATTCGAAATATGTTTACAGAACAATGACGTAATCAGTAATCACTACTTCAGCTTATCATTTATCTTATTTCTCTATAGTTCTTATATTTTAATTTTTATATTTAAAAATAGAAATAATAGCCACATTTAGTTAATTAAAAATTATTGGTATTTTTTTTGCAATAGAATTTTTTAAAAGATTTATCTGTAAAAAAATAGTGTCCAAGCAAAATTTAATACAATTATTTCTAGGCAATATTATATATATATTATAAAATTTATTATCAAATAAAACATTTAAAATACTTATATTATTAAAATATGTTATTCTAGTCGATATTCTATCTTGTCTGGATCTTGAGTAGGTCTTAATATTATCTGCAACTGAAAGGCTCTTCACTGCAATAGATAATAGTGATGATGCTCTACATCTAATAAAAATTTATTGCCTACTATGAATTTTTGATTATTATAAATCTAAAAAATATACTTGAAGAAAATTTAAACATGCTGTTATTGTTTTAAGATTATATATATTGTATTTTAAAATAAACAATCTCAACAAAGTTTTGGAATTCGTAAATTAAGAAAAAATAATATAGTTAAGAGCATTTATTATACATTTTAATAAATTAATAAAAGTTTTTGTTTACTTTTGCAATTCCTATTAATAAATATAATTATTTAACGTAGAATAAGATTTGTGACAGATAATTATCCAGTATAAAACTAATCTGATAATAATTCTACATTGTTTTCTGTCATATAAAAAACAAACTACATATACAATTTATAAAATTTGAAAAATTGCAGACATGGATGTCAATATTTTGAGATAAAAGTTTTTGTGCAATAATTATGAGATAACGTATTAGATGTTGTCCTTATTTATCAATAGTGTAGCAACGTATAATTTATTAACTGTTAATTAATTATTATAAAATTATTACGATGAAATAAATATGAAATATTTTTTTTTAGAACTTTATATACAAAGAAAAGGTATAAAAAATTTAGAAATTAAAAAACATTATCAATAATGTACTAATAAATGAAAATTCCCAATTACAGCTGCAAAAATTTACTATGTAAATGAAAGTGAATAGAGTATGAAGATTAATACATGTAATACCTTTAATTTTCAAATTTTCAAATTAATTTTCTAAAATATATAACTCTAAATTTATTACTAAATAACTACATTAAATAAGACTTATAATTAATCTTTTAAGAAATTAAAGAGTTCCTTTTAGGGACTATTAAAAAGATGGTTTAAGAAAAAACATAAAAATAAATAGTTGAAAAAAGAGTAGGATAAAAATGAAGATATGAGAAATTAACTTTAACCTCATCTAATTACATAATAGCTTTCCTCATTATTCATCATCATTGCTTTAATTAAAAGGCAGAATCCATCAAATTTCACTTATATTAAGTTGTAGGTAAACTACTACTGGAAATTACTGTTTATCCCAAAAAAAATCGATTAATATTGGTGCGATAAAACTAAGAAAATGACCCTTAACATCACAGTAATCAGATTTAAAAAGAAAAAGAATATCTTTGATGAACCCATATTTAAATTTAAGTTTATATTATATTATTAAAGTTGATTATTTGCTTTCTACTTAAATGATATCAATTTATAAGCTAATATATTCGTTTAACCAATGAATCTATGTCTTAAAAATGGATATTAGGGAAAATAGGCTCTAAAATTATTCACGACGAAGAAAAGGATATTACAAATATTAATACTAATTTTCATAAAGAAATATTTCGCTATAAAATTCAATTTTATAACAAACATTTTTGTAACCGATACCCAATATAAGCACATTTATTTATTATTTTATTAATATTTGATCTTCTATTGCACTGCAACAATAAATATTTCTAGCTAAGCCCTTAAATTATTAGTTTATTTTATTATTTACATCTTTAATTAATTAAAATTCTTTATAATTAGAAATAAATGCATGAGCAATTCATTTTTATTGTAAAATATATTTTTTTAATTTTTAATGGAAAGACAAAACAGAGTCGTCTTATAAAAAAGACTTCATCTAGATAAATACTAAAACAATATACATGATTAGTTAAGATATATATTGTTTTTTAGTGATCTATTAAATTTCTAAAATCTGAACATTGGTTATCAAAATATTTTGCAATATAAATTAATTCAAGTATATTTTATAAGTACTTTTAAAAGAAATAATTTTATTTAGTTACTTAGAATTTGTATTTAAGAATTTACATTGCCGATACAAGCTACTACAATAAAAGAATAATATAAAACAATACAGTATAAATATAACAATAGAATATAAAAAGGAGAAAGAGCTTTTATTGACTTTTATTGAAATTCGATGACTAAGAGTCATATGCCATAAACAGAATATTCTTGAATAAATCTTTTGTTCAGTTAATAACCTTAAGAGAATTGTCAACTATTTTGTTATTACTTTTAATTATATGACGCGTTTTATATTAAATTTAACAAATAAAATTTTATATTAACTATCCAGTTAAATTTATAAAATATATATAAAATATTAAATTTATAAATAAATAGTCATTCTGATGAAGCACTAAATTAAAAAGGAATATTTACCAAAAAAAAATTGGAATAAAATGTGACATATTTTAATTTTTTGTATTGGCAAAGTATCAAAAATAATTTAATCTGCTATATCAGAATGCAATTAAATAACGTAAATCTTTTAAAAACTTAAATTTTCGGTATTACCTAATTTTATATGTATTTGCATAAATTTGTAATATTGTATTTTCATAGTTATGAAAAATGTATTTATCATTTTTATTATAATACAGCGCGCTATAGTACCATTTTTTAAATTTCTTGTGCATCTTTAATACTGATACTAATCATTATAATAAAATTTATTAAAAAAAAAATCTGTTCCAAGACCAATATTCAAAAAAACCATGTTCTTTAAAATATTTTATATGAGCTGTAAAACTGCATGTATAGTAATGCTAAAAAAATTTAATGAAATTGATTTTTAAAAGTTTATCAAAATTTTATTAATAATGTAGAATATATGAATATATTATTATTTTTGTCGTATTTTTATTTTCCTCAAATTTTTTAATAATTATTTGAAGTATTAAAATATAAGAAATATTATTTCACTTAAAATATTTTAACTTTATCGTGTGCTAAAAAATTATCAATAAAACCTTTGTAATTAGAAAAATTTATCAATACAATTTTACATTTAGAAAAATTTGTTGATTTTCAAAAATCCATCAAAAGTATTTAATTTTTCAAATATAATAGTAAATAATGACATGTTTAAGACTAGTTGCTATTAATAAAAATTATTGATTGAAAGATTATACAATTATTAAAATTATTAAATCGATTAACAAACTACAAATCTCCGTGTATTTTATGTCGACTTTGATTCTCTTTAAATCTTAATTCATAGCATGATTAATTTTTCTAAAATATAAAAGTACGAAAAAAATTTTTGTACTATAACTTATAAATTTTATTAAATTAATTTATGTGTTTCAATCAATTGCGGAAGTTCTTTTTATTATTTATGCGGATTATCTTTTTTATTAATTTTTTTATTATTATTAATCTGTTAATTTGTTTGGAAATTAAACTTTAGATATATTATTTTTGTATATGATTCAGAAAAATATATATAAAATAACGGTAATCAAAGTATTTTGTTTAAATTTGTTCAATGCGAGATTACTAATATACTTAACAAGAAACTATTTTTTCTTTTGATTAAACAATTTATATTAAAATAAAAATTCAACAATATATTTGTGTTAATAAATTGTTTTGTTATTATATCTCATAAAGATATTGTATCTCAATAATGTAAAAATGTAAATAAAAATACATTTATCATAGATTATTTGATAATTAAAGAATCTTCATAGAATTTAATTGTATTTTTAAATTTTATGAATTTTCTTATAGATTATATTGTAATTAAACTTACTTTATTAAAAAAAAAATGATATTTTTGATAATTTTATATATACAAAAATTATTGATGTATTATACCGCTGCTGGAAGTAAATGCAACATTAACAAATAACATTATATTCAATTAATTTTCCTAAAGCAAATTTGTTTTAGTTATTATTAACTTTTAAGGTTTTTTCTGAAAATTCTTATTTTTATTAATATTTTGAATAAGCTATTCACCTCAGTACGAACAAATTGCATATCATACATTTTAAATATATACATATTCTTTGTGCATGACATACAATATCTATATGTATAATAAGTGAATAAAAATAAAATTTATTTATAATAACTTATCAAAATGTTCTACTCTTCAAATTATACTAAAATCAAATTTTAACATATAAATAGTATTAATGATATTGATTTTAAAAAGCAGTTAAATAATTTTTCATTTTAAAAAATTTATTTTAACTTAATTACTTTTAATTTTATTTTAAGGAAAATGATATTTAATATCAGTAGATTTAGTTCTTAATTTATCTAATTAGTTGTTATAACAATTCAATAATTATCATAAAAAAATCAATATAACAAATAATTTTTTATTTATATTTAAAATTTATAATATATTTATAATTTATTATTATTCTTACAAGCAGACAATTTATATTTACAATGATTCTTCCCTTTAAATCTATTATTCTACTAAAAAGTATCGGTTTTATGTTTCTTTATTATGTATCTTTATTAC